GAGCTCGTTGGGCTCCTGCTGCTGCTGCCTGGGGCGGCACGGGAGGTGGCGGAGGCCGGTGGTGGTGGTGGCGGAGGGGCCGCCGTCGCGGGCGTTGTTTGTGTTGGAGATTTTGCGTGGGCGGTTGAGAGGGCTTGGGTTCTGTCCGCGGCGGCGGGCGAGGTTGGATATCGGCGCGGTGCCGGCGGTGTTTGTGGTGCTGGACATGCTGTTCGGGGTGGCGGCGGCCGTCTGCAGGCCAGGGTACATGGGATACGCGGCGGCGGCGGCGAGGGAAAGCGGCGGTGCGGACGAGGACGAGGGGCGCGTTGTATATCGCACGACGGTGCTGGGGAGAGGCAGCGACGACGACGGCGTGCGGCTGGGAAAGGAGCTGTACTTATTGGTCGTCTTGTTGGCGCCGCCACGGCCGTAATACTCGGCGAGCGCCGGCATCGTCTCGCATGCTGGCGCGTGCATGGGCCTCGTAGCTACAGTCGCCGGGCTCATTTTGCAGGGGGGGGGCAGGGGGGGAAGAACCGGCGGCAGACTCGAGTTTTAATTTCTTCGAGATGCGCGTTGTTGGTGTGCAGTTTTGCTTATAGTTTCGGTTGGAACCTTGGTCCAGGCAAGACTGAGATGCATAAAAGAGAGAGAGAGAGAGAGAGAGTAAAGGCAATAAGTTGTCGGGAATTGACCCTGCACTTGTAAAGAAACTCGCCAACTTGGGGGAAATGACGGAGTCGCAGGGGGAGCGTAGATCGACACAACTGTAACTATGTCTTTGGATTCAATAATACGTAGAGAAACGAACCAGGATTTCATACGTTTCATTGCGTTCCTCAGCGACTCGCCAGGGCGGCTTTTTGCTCAGTCGGCGGCGCTTTAGTTATTATTTATTAGTGGCTAGTTAAGGAGCACAGGCTGGCGGGCGCCAAACCTCGACAGGTTGATACAGATGGCACCGACTCTTATTGGCAAAAAAGCTCGGCCTACAGTTTTCATTATTACAAAGTCAACAATTACTGTACCGATGGGCAGCGCTTTCGTTATTAGTGGCGAATACAGCTTGTTTTAGCCTCTTTTTACAAACTAGTCTTCCTCCCCTTTATTTCCCGCTGTTTGGTTTCATTCTCCAGAACTAGTGCATGTAAGATGTGGAGCCAAAGAGATCAGATAGATTTCGTGCTTTTTAGTTGGTTATTTATTAGAATTATTAATTTAGTTAGTTAACAAGTTCAAAAGAAAGAGGGGGGTTCACAACAAGAGCACCGATGCGAGCCTCCAACGGGGCCAGCCCTCGTATCTGCCGTCCGCACCGCATTCTCACCGGACACTGCCTCGCGTCCATTAAAAGACTAATACCGAGGGAGGGGAAAAAAGCCTCCTCTCTCAGGGTCCAAATGGGGCTTGATCCCACCTTGTTGGCGGACAAGACAGAGACAGTCAGAGACAGGGGGAGGCTTATTGGAGACAAGAAACCTTGTTCGCATCGGAGCACCATCGGCAGTGAAAAGGAAGTGCATACAGAGTACAAATTATATACTGATAGAATACAGGGCTCCTTTTTCCAGAGGGCAGCTCGCCCTTTGTCTCCCTCGCGCGTCATCGCCCCTCGCGCGCCCCTTGACGGGCGGCTGTGTCTCGAGCCATGAATAAATATCCCGCCCGTCGCAACCTGTTGAAATAGTCCACGGAAACCATTCTTTCTTACTACATACCGGCGCGTAAAAAGGGCGGCAGCCCTACTCTATTGCCTTGACTATGGCTAGTGGCTCTAGATCGCAACCTAGGAGCACACACCAACAGGACAGGGAGGTACACCAGGGAATACTGAGCTCATCACTGCTTTTGCTACGTTGAAAACTAGTCTTCTTCCCATGCAAACAGCCTTGTTCAGTTCGTCCTGTCCCTTTGGGAGACGGATACTAGCACAGTCCTATTTTCAATCTCACGCCCGTCATGTTCCATCTCCTTCTCCCTCGTGCCGTCATGTCATTTCATGCATTCCATTTTTCTCATATTTTCCCACATCACCCACACCCTGTTTTTAACACCGCCTAGTGGTGGAAGAGGCGGATGCTCTGCTCGACAAACGTGATGCCCAGAGTCTCAGCCGTCTGGATCACAGCCGAGTCGTTCTGGCTGCCGGTCGGCGCGGCAATGTACTTGACGCCCGAGCGAGCAGCGCGGAAGACGTTGTCGATAAAGGGGAACTGCATCCATGTTAGTACCGAAAATCAAAGTAGTCATAATGTAGGGCGGTATGCACGTACGAAAGCATCGCTCGAGACAGAAACACCAGTCAGCTTCTTCATCCAGGCGTCGCGCTCCTCCTGCGTAAAGGCGGCCGGGACCTGCTCAAACACGGCCTCAAACGCCTCGCGCTCGGGGCCGTCCTTGGGCAGCTGGCCGCTGACGAGCAGGTCAATGGCGTTGGACTTGTCGGGCCGCTTGGCGCCCTTTTTCCACTGGATGCCGAGGACGCGCTCGTGGAAGCGCATCCACCAGTTGTCGGCCTTGTCGCCGGCGAGGCGGGTGCAGTGGATACGCGACTGCTGGCCGGCGCCGAGGCCAATCACCTGGCCGTTGACGGCGTAGCACACCGAGTTGCTCTGCGTGTACTTGAGCGTGATGGTGGCAATGGCCAGGTCGCGCGCCGCCGCGTCGGGCACGGCCACGCCGTCCTTGGGCGTCAGGATCGAGGCGAAGCTCTTGGCCGCCGAGATCTCGACGTCGTTGCGGTGCTGCTGCAGGCTGATGCCGTACACGGTGCGCGTCTCCGTCGGGCCGGGGCTGTAGTCGGCGTCAATCTGCAGCACGAGGTACTTGCCGCCCTTTTTCTTCTGCAGGATGGCGAGCGCCGCGTCCTCGTAGCCGGGCGCGATGACGCCGTCCGACACCTCCTTGGAGATGATGCTGGCGGTCGGCACGTCGACGACGTCGGAGAGGGCAATTATGTCGCCAAAGCTGCTCATGCGGTCGGCGCCGCGGGCGCGGGCGTACGCCTGGGCGAGGGCCGACGTCTCGATGCCGGCAATGTCGGTGACCATGTAGACCTTGCGCTCGTCCTCGGTGAGGGGCAGGCCGATGGCGGCGCCGGCGGGCGAGACGTGCTTGAAGCTCGCGGCGGCGGGCAGGCCGGTGGCGGCCTTGAGCTCCTTGACGAGCGGCCAGGCGTTGAGGGCGTCGAGCAGGTTGATGTAGCCGGGGGCGCCGCAAAGGGCGCGGAAGGGCAGGCGGCGGCCGCTGACAAAGGCGGCGGCGGGCTTCTGGTGCGGGTTGGCGCCGTAGCGCAGCGGCAGGTACTGGTCGCCGGCGCCGGCGTACTCCTTGCGGAAGAAGTCGGCAATGGCGGTGTCATAGTCGGCCGTGTGCTCAAAGGCCTTGAGCGCGTAGCGGTTGCGGCTGGCGTCGGTGATTTCGCCCTTGGCGAGCTCCGTCAGGAAGCCGGCGTAGTCGGCCGGGTCCGAGAGGATGGTGACGCGCTTGTGGTTCTTGGCGGCGGCGCGCAGCAGGGTGACGCCGCCAATGTCCACCTCCTCGACGGCCTCGGGGATGCTGACGTTGGGCTTAGCGACGGTCTCCTTGAAGGGGTACAGGTTGCAGACGACGTAGTCGACCTTGTTGATGTTTTGGTCGGCGAGGTCCTTTTCGTCCGACTCGAGGTCGCGTGCGAGGATGCCGGCGTGGACAGAGGGGTGGAGCGTCTTGACACGGCCGCCGAGCATCTCGGGGGCCTTTGTGATGGCGGAGACGTCCCTGCATTTCTGTCAGCTTACGATTTGCTCTCTGAAGCTTGCCGTGTGATGAAAAGGGCGGCCAAGAAAAAGACTCACTCAACGGGGAAGCCAGACTCGCGAATCATGCGCGAGGTGCCGCCAGAGGCGAGGATCCGGACATTGTTGGCAACCAGACCCTTGGCAAGGTCCAAGAGGCCCGTCTTGTCGTAGACGGAGACGATGGCAGTCTTTTGGGCGGGAGCCATGTTGAAGGTGATGATTGTCCCGAGACGAGACTTTTGAGAAGAAAAGAGGACGGGAAAGGCACGGCAACGAGGGAGAGTGGTGAGGCGACACGGCGAGGGGAAAAAGTTTTGGCGGGGTCGATTTTATTTCGCAATCGCGGGGCATCTTGGGTCGCCGCCTGTGGAGCCTCTGACGGGATGCAGCATTGTGCACGCCATGTTAGAATTTATTTATTAATTTATTAATTTATTAATATACGCTGATTAGACTCTGTGGTCCTTCTAGTACCTCAATAAACTTGTGAGGGATGGAAAAACTGTAGTAAGGTGACTTAGCTAACCACCTAGCCCTAGCCCTCCCTACCCAGATGAAAACCATCCCTCCTGTGCGCGTTGCGATTCCTGTGTTTGAAGCGATTCCTAGTCCCTTCTATCTCGAAGAAGCTGGATAAGAACGCTACCGTTAGTAGAAGCCATCTCGTTGACTGAACGCCGCCGTACGTGGCGGATAGCGTGACCTGTTGTCTCTCGGTGTCAATCTCCGCTGCCGTCGACGTAGCAAATCACGCCCCTACTAACGCAAGGTGGAATGCGCCGCTGTATCGTAGCAGAAACGATATGAATAATATTGTATGAATTATCAAGTATATCTCCTTTACTATAAGACGAGCTCCTGCTTTGGAAACTGGTATAATCCGGTCGACTGGGCTTTTTAGGTAGGGTTAACCACGGTCGGCATCATGAAATCTCTACACAAACACAAAACGGTTCTTGCTCTTTGTTCTCTAATAATAAGTTACTCGAGCGATACCGACGGTTTCCGTTACAAAAGAATACCAGTACTATTTCCCCGCAGCGGTTTCTGCCGCGTTGCCGTGCTATAGCTAGGCAATGTATATCATCATTCTATTGATATAACAATATTGGTATAGTTGCATCCAAAAGACAAGCGGACAACCGAGACTTATTACATAAGGGAATGAAAATCTAGCATCCAAATCATTCCTCCGGTAATATATGCCGCCTCTACAGGCATCCAAATCATCACCCCTCCGCTGATATATGCTTCGCCTCCAACAACCTGACATTACACCATCCATTCCCTCCCACGTGGATTATGTCCGAAAAGTCCACCAGCATCGAGCTCTTCCAGTTGCGCGCCATGGCGCAAATAGTATAGTGGAAGCCCGCATCGTGCAGAAAATCAATCGTCTGCTGCATCGTCTCCGCCACGTTGTCGCCCTCTTCAATATACTCGTACACCACGGCCAGGTACTCCCCGTCGGTGCCCGGGTCCAGTCCGCGCACGACCTCGCCGCAGTCCACCCACTCGGGCCAGCGCCGCCGGGGAACCGCCGCCCGGAGCTGCGCGCCCGTCACCCGCAGCCAGCCGTAGCACCGACGCAGCCGCGGCATCGAGGTGACGTCTGCGAAATCCTCGTGCCGGTCGTGCTGCTTCTGCACCGCACGCTGCTCGTCGCAGAAAGCCATAAGGTTCGCCCGCGCTTCCGCCCTGTTCTCCGGTACGGGAAAGATGCGCACCGGGCCTTTGTCCGCCGTCGCGGGTCGGAGCGCCTCCTGCATCTGCTGGAGGAGAGCGGCGTTTTGGCACTCCCGCTGCGCGGCAAAATAGTATGGTGGTTCGGGGGGCTCAGAGTCCCAAAACTAGTACATGAATATCAGCACAGTTCAAAACGCTACGAGATGGGGCTTATGAATAGGGACGTTGGACGTACTAGCTTTAGGACAAACGGTCCCCCGACAGCGCCCTCAAAGTCAACCTTCCAGTTCCAGCCATCCAGGCCACCGTCACACTTGCCAGCGTCCTGGTCGGGGTCCTGTGTTATTTTGTCGAGGTAGGATAGCTGGTCAAACGCAAAAGGACACTTGCGTAGCCGCGGCTGCTTGAACGCCGCCAGCGTGCAGTTGGGCGGATTATCGTCCGTGAGTAGGCGCTCCTCGAGAAAGGGCTGCCGCATCATTGCGCGCTGTCTGTCTGCGTCCCTTCTAGCTTCGCGCTGTATCTGACGCTCTATTTCATCGCCCCACCGTATCTTTTCGTCGAGGTTATACAGCTCCAAGTCAGCCATGTTGTCTGATGATGGAGGTGAGGAAGAACAGACGCTGTGGCGCTAAAATAAGCTCGCTGGCGGAACCAAGTTCAACAGGAATCAGTACGTAATATTCAACACACTTCACCGTCGTTACCGACTGGCCAGAAAAAATCTAAATCATGATTCGTCGATATTATTCGCAATATGAACAACCTTTAAATCTTAAGAAGAGCCGTCTGAGACGACTCCGTTGCGCGCACACCCGTCCAAGTTTAGAGCTAGTTCGTGTAATCGCCGCCAGAAGTCGTGCTGCTTATACCCGGTTTAAAACATCTTTCTTCTTACATGTCACTATTTTTTTCGGGGCGATGCAGAGAAACATGGCTGTACTTCACAGTAATTGCTGCAGCTCGTACGGCCCAGCTGCACGCGGCCCTGCAGCGACGCCTCTGACGCAAAGGTCATGAGACTATTTCTTGACTACAGCGCCGTCATGCAGGAATATAGAAGCACTCTTTCCAAGCCGCAAATATACCCTCCTCTAGTACCCCTCAGTTGAAAGGAGAATCGTCTATGAATCGTACACGTTGTGCCGGTCTCGACACCATGATGGCCACCCGCGTGGCGTCACTGTCGGCCCGTTCACGCTTTTGTCCGCTCGGCGGCGTCGTCGCGGCTTGGGGCGGCCATGCTGCGGGAGTCGCCGGCGTCTGTTCCCTACAAGTTACAGCATCAGGGCTGGCCAGGCGGCCGGATCCCTTGCCAAACACGAGCAGCGGCGTCGCCAGCGACACCATCTGCCCGGCGTGGCCGTGGCCGGCGTCTCCCACAGGCACAATCTTGGCATTCTGGATCCAGTTGTTGATCAGAGTCACGTCCAGAATCGTTTTTGCGCTGCTATGCTCCGCCTGCGTCATGTGCTGCTTGCGATCCAGAATGACCTCGTCGATGCTGTGTCTGAGCACCAGCGTCTCGACCGAGACGCGCCGGTGCTGCCCGATGCGCCGCGCGCGAGCAATCGCCTGGCTTTCCACCTGCGGATCCAGCACGGGGTTGATAAAGTACACCCGCGAGGCGACGTGCATGTCCAGCCCGTAAGCAGCCTGGGATAGGTCCATCAGAAGCACTCGGAATGTCTCGTCGTCATCAAACATGCGAATGTACTGCGCGCGCTTCTTCACCTCGATCCCTCGCGCATAAATGAGGTGCTTGACTCGGAGCATGTCCAAGATGCTGGCCAGATACCAAGCAACATTCTCATTTTCATAAAAGATGATGATTTTTTCGTCCTTTTGGTACTTTACAATGCCATCAATGAGATACGAAAGCTTTGCAGAGACCGTCGACACAAGTTCTGTCTTGGCCAAGGCGGCAGAGAATGCTTGATCGGTGAGCACCGGCGCCGGGTCAGCGCCAGTAATCCCATGAGATCGGCTCTTCTTGGGGCTGTCGTCACCTAGCTTTGTGTTGCCAGCCAAGATTTCCGGTGTATTACGCTTCTTCGAAGTGGCCCCAGTAGATGCAGCTTCAGCACGCGCCTTTTCTCTTTCCAGCATTCCTTCTTGCACCAAGCCGCCGTTGAGTAAGTAATTGAGCTGCTGTGGATGACTGGCAGCTTTGTAAAGCAATTTTTGAAGAGCAAGCATCATTCTGGCAGACGTGCAAACCTGGTCATTTTCCTCCCCGTCTAAAGACCAGTGCTTTCCAGCGGCTCCGGGAAATCCGGTGACGCAAACTGGCATTTCGTGAAATTGGTAGCTCAGGCTGCGGAGCTTATTTGTCAAGACGAGGTGGCCAAAGTCAATGGCCGTCTTGAGAAGCGCCTCATCCTCGGCGCTTGTCTTGACCTCCTTCTTTACTAAAAATTCTTCGGCAGTCTTCACAGCCGTTTCGATCTCTTCTGCATTAAAGAATGACCCGCCAAAGAAGCTTGACTGCTTCAAGTTCTGTACAATTTGAAGCAGGCTCTTCCGTTGTCTGGGGTGGAAAAAGTAGTCCTCGTCCGTTCGCTGCGACTGGACCGCGTTGAAAATAATCATCATGGCGAAAATGTTGAGAGACAGCATGTCTTGGAAAGATCCGTCAAGCAGCACAATCTTGGCGTCCACAGGGGGCAGCTGGTCAACGACTTCGTGCAGCTGGTGACGTACAATGAGCGAATTGATCGTCAGTTTGAGGCAGTTCCATCGTCCGGCCGCATCAGGGCCATTCTTTGCTGGATAGAGATACTTTGTCCACCTCGCCAACGTGTCTTCAGTTTCTGAAGCCGAATTGGCCCATGGGCGTGCTTTCAGATACAGTGCGGCGATGGCTCCCAGGCGTTCGACATCCTTACGCTCCAGTTCCGTCGACGACTGATCCAGCAAAGATTGGCGATTCCTCTGGCCACGAGGCACGCTCACAGAACTTGCAGCACTGTCACCGGATACTTGTCTATTAGTCCCGTACAAGTCGGGCAGGTCGTATAAGCCGTATAAGCCACGGGATGGAGTTCCAGTCACAATCCAGCGCGAAGTCAAGTGCAGCGCGTCAACACCCTCCAGCAGGCAGCTTTTCTGGCTCACTTTCGAATTGCCCAGAACATGGCCTTCATCGACGATGCAGCGTTTAAAGTGTATCTTTGTGAGAGGTGTCACAGAGGTGTCCCCATCCCTAGCGATACTCTGAAAACGTGACAGGGAAAACAGTAGAATGTCGTATCCCAGTAGAGTTGTAACATCAGGGATGCGGTCGGTCTTGGTCAGCACCAGAACCTCGAGACCTTCCGTGTGCTTTTCAATTTCTTGTTCCCATTGTGAAAGCAAGTTGTCGGGTACGATGACCAAGCTAGTATTGCTGAGGTAAATCTTCTTTCCCCCTGGGTCGATCTCACCCGTCGTCTCCCCCCATGAACGTCTTCTCGGCAAGGCGTTGGGTCGGATGTAAAAGTCGGGATTCTGCCTAAACGCTTTGGCAATGGCAGTTCCGTGATAATCCTTCTTTTTAGTGGAACCGAAATAGTTCATCCAAGGCTGAGACGTTCGAGTTGCGCAGGCAGCTGCCATATCCATCAGTGATCCAACTGACTTCCGCACCGGCACCGCTGGCCTCCAATAGACTTCGGGAGCTTCCGTGGGGAAGCCTCGCGTCGCCAATAGAAGCGCAAGACACATGATTGTTTTGCCTGTTCCCATTTCTTCCGCCAGTATTCCGCCGGACACGCCATCGTAGTATTTCGCGTCTCGAAAGATGCTTCTCGCCACGGGATCCAAGTACCAAGAGCGGCCATTTCGATCAAGCAGTTGCGAAAGCCGCGGATCAAGCACAGTGCCGGGGCAGACTTCTTTCTGAATCATCAATGCCGTTGATCGCCTTTGGTGCGGGAGAAGATCCGATTTAAGACCGGGTATATTGCCCTGGAGAACGTTGGTCGCAACATTCTTCAAAAACGGGTCGCTGATGATGGAGGGGTCGGGTACTGGCGATGGAATATCGTTGAACAACTTTAGCAGAGACGACTCGGTCTCTCCCATGGTGTTCTTCTCAATGGGGCTCTTTAGACCAGCATGAGGCGCCTCCTCTCCCGACCAAGCTCGAGCAGTGCAGTCTAGTGCTTCCAGAATGTATCCGCGGAGTTTGCATAGGTTGAATTGAGACCGGTTAATAGATCCTCTCAGGGCGTCATCGGCAAGCAGATAGACTCGCACAACTACCATGTAATCGAATTGAGGCAAGACTCTATATTCAAACTCTGCCAAGTTGTCACGAAAGAGGTACGAACAAATTTGCATAGTGGTGGGGTTAAGGAAGGCATCCTGGAGAGCTGAGACGACGACTGCGTTTTGCGATGCATCATCGAGCGTTCTGCCCGCGCTCTGCTTCTTAGGACGCACACAAGCCTTCCAGGTAGTGTCATCCATCTGCCATAGCGATTCCTCCAGCTTGATTTCCGATCTGGGGACACCGAGACAGCCGACCGGGATATAATGGGCCGAAGGAGGCGACATGGTTTGATGCAGTGTCAAGGCACCATTAGACAGGAAGGGTTCGCCCAGGAAGATTGGGATGGGAATTCACGATGACTTTGATGTCAAACTTGAACATACAAACGGTCGGAGATAGTGTCAGGCAGCAACCCCACAGTACAGCCCAAGATTAGCTCAGCATCTAGGCAGCCGCTACATCTTCCGCGCTATCAACCATAATTTCATGAGATTTCTATCGAATTCGAACTCGACTCATAAAACTCGAAAGGCTGTAGAGAAACAATGGTGCCGAGCTTGCCCGCTGATCATAACTGCTGTATGTGGCAACCTCGGGCTGGGAAGAGACTAACACTGGATTTGGGAGAGAATAACATGCAGCAAGTGTCACGAAATGCAATAACAAGAACTACAAGAGTGTAGCTAGCTTCTGATTACCATGTATAAGCCTGAGGAGGAGGCTGTCTAGCTAGTTAGAATCTCTAGTATATGCGAGATATGTGCTGGCCCGTCAGAGATGCGTCAAACTAGGGAAAGAGCCAGTCGTGAGTGCGGCAGTAGGCGACCACGTCTTGGCAGACAATGGCGAAATTATATACAAAAATGCCCTTTACCTCGAAGAATGAGGTATAAGGTGACGACGAACCGCCCAAGAAAGAAAGCGGCGTCCAGATCGGCGCTCTACTGTACGTGCATGGAGACAGGGTAACCAACTGAGCTTATGGACGCGCACAACAACATCTCGCCAACCTGAGCATTGTTTCTCACTTCTTCTGTTTTAAGCTACAAGTCACGAACCCCGAGAGTGGTTACTGAGTATTATTTCAACGCACTCGGCCATGTCTGCATACGGTTGGCGCATGCCCTCAAGCGGGCTGGCCCGCCCAGGGACCCCTTGTCAGTCAGCTGAAGCCTGCTCCCAGCCTCGCGACATTGGCTAAGTAGCCGCCGAGCAGTGGATTTAGACTAAAGCTTAGCCAAGGAATCAGGAAATCATCCAGTCACCAGCGTCCCTGCTGACGGGCTGGCCATGGCGTTTCTTTTTCGAGTTACTGATCGCCCAAGGGGCCATGGGCAACGGCGGGTCGAGACAACGGAATCGCAATCGCGAGCATAAGAGTTCCAATGCCGTCCATTATCAGCGAACCGAATACCAACCTTTTCTCATCTCGACCCTCTATTCAGAAGCTGCTCCCATGATCTGGCTAGCCCCTCTCCTCATCGGCCTCTGCGGCTCGCCGGCCGCGGCGGCGCAGGCGACACACTCAACAGCTCTATACAACCAATTCTTCCCAGCCTGGGACAACATGCTCAAGGACTACTTGGAGCACAATTGCCACGAGGTCGTTACCAACTATCGAAACGCCACCTTCAACGACACTCACATCAGCTATGAGGTGTTTGACTGCTTGTTGAAGCAGTTTCCCGAGTTTCGCAAGGCAAGCTTCCTTAGTAGACTACTCACAGACAAAGTAGTTGTCTAACAGTACACACATAATAGGCCGAATTGAGTGCTGCGGCCGTCGTTCTCGGCCTCGCGCCGTCCATCCTGCAAATGGTCAGTCCTACGCCTGCGGATACCGCCCTGATTAGCCTCCGCCGGCCTGTTCTCGCGCTGCTGCTGAGCCTGGCGTCCCCAGCCACCGTCTTCTCCGAGGCAGCCACGTATGCGAGCAACATTGCCGTCTTGTCGAAGCCCCTCTCCCAGCAAATCCGTGGCACCTTTCCCTACACGGCGGGTCGATTGCTCAGCGCCGGTGCCAGCGTCGACGTCAGCAACTACGTGGCGGCACTCCTGTCGGCGATCCAGTACATCCTGGCGCTGGCCGCCGTGGCCAACAGTGCGTATCGCACGTATCAGTTGTGTGTGTGGACCGTGTGCTCATTCTCGCCGATTGTGGTCTTTCTTCCCGCTCTGTGGCACGGAACGGTTGTGCTTCTGCATCTGGGCGGTTGGATCGCGCAGCGCTTGAACTTGCAGAGAGCAGAGGCGGCCCGAGGTGCAAAGAAGTCAACGGATGCGCAGGACCGGCAACGCGCAAAGTTCGGCTGGGGGAGCAGAGCGAAATCGTGGGTCAGGAACGAGGCTACACCCTCGGTCTTTGCGGAGAAGTTGCTCGTGGAGAATCGAGCGGCTGGGCCAGCGCCGTTTTTTTCTGTTGTGACAGCAGCTTTGTACGCTGGCGTGCCTGTTCACGTAAGTGTTCTTTTCTGTAGTAGTGAAATCCTCCGTCATACCTAACTTTGGACAGCTCCTGTACGGCACCCTGGTGCTCTCCAGTCTCACTTTTATCAGCGCTTTCGATTCCATCACTGCAGTGGCCTTCTACGCGATCAGCACAGTAGTCAGCAAAGCCATTGTGTATTTCGAATGCGCCAGTATCCATGCTGTCGCAAGCGAGAATTTGGACGCGACAGCTGAGGAAGAGTAATTGCAGAGTTATTCTGTGCTGTGGCAGAGAAGAGAGTATGAACAAATGGGATTTTGATGTCCCGAAAGCTAGATGTGTGGAATATTCGTTATATACCATATTGACAATGAATGAGCCAACATTATACGTGGACTGAGCGTGCCGTCGCTACGCTTTGACTGATGGGTAGAATATATGGCCAAGTGGACGTGTACCTGCGTTACACATGGCCCAGCGCTCACCAAGACGCAAATACTCTGTGGAGTGGGCTGGCTTGATCTCTCGGCGTTTGCTTAATGCAAGGTTCTTCCCGAGGCTCTGACGTCTTCTTCGTGGTTTTGCAGCATGGGGGTTTGCAGGAGTAACGACGCCTTGAGTCAGTTGTGTTATCTTTGCGTCGACATGCGTGATCACGCTTCGGTTTGTTCCATTATTAAACGGTAACTCAATTCATCTCAAGCCGGCGGTTGAGGTACCCATCTTTCGAGCAGACCAACCTGCCATTCCTGAAATGATCGCTCAGAGGGAGGTAGCATGTATTTGCTGGATGTCAAGGTCTGACGCGCCACCTGTATCGCTGGCGCGGGGAAGTTGATATCCTGAACATCATTGGACAGCGATTCCACCAGGTCGAGGGCCTCCTTTTCTTCAATCTCTTTAAACAGCACTTTTACCGCAGCTTTCGCAGCCGTGTCATTGTTACTCGTAAAAATGACGTTGTTATTAAGCACCCACAGCTGCAAGTGGCGTGACACTTTATCTGTGGACGTCATGTTTCGTGGCATGACGACAGACTTTGAAGAACCGGACCGAGCAATTGTAGAGAGAAGCGTGGCAACCAGGCAGTCGGAGCTTGAAGGAGCCTTTTGCGGAGACAATACCTCGCAAGAGATTTGCCATTTGAAGAAGGCGACCGTGGAAGCAAGGACGCTATATGTGCCAATGTCGGCGGCGCAATTGCTGCAACTGATGCTGAGGAATTTTTCCTCCAAGGTAGCTTTGATAGCGCTATCGCTGTCATGAAACCTTGCGGCTGATTTCGACGAATAGAACTATTGACGTTAGCTTATCGAGCTGGGTCGTGAAAAGGGCGATGGTAAGTAATGTGTCTCAAGGAATAGCCAGCAAATCCGCAACTCTGAATTGATGGGTGCAAAAGAGACTGCCCAGCCGGATGCGCCTTCACAGAAACCCATCCCGGAGGAGGGTACTCTGACGAAGCGCTGCATTACTCCGAAAGGGCAAGGAGTTGATATAGGGGAATTGTATCGGTGACCATGACACTAGGGGGGCTGATGCCCTGACTTGGCCACCTTCTATTTCCCCATTGAGTCAAGGAGTGATGGTTCATACCTTGATTGAGCTGCAATCTGACTCGGCAAAGAGAAATGAGGTTATGTCGACGAATCCCACGCCGGGCTGGGCGGTAATGGCGCTGGCCGCGCCGTAGCCACGGTGCTCCAGGTGGCCATCCTCGGGCTGATGGTGTTCGACAGGTTTATGGCAATGCCAAAATTCCATCATTTCAGCCCAATTTTCACTGGGTAAATCCTTCCACGTCTCGACTGCTTCATTTTTGATAAACTGCGCGCCACATGCTCGACAAGAGACTGGCGACAGGGGTTTGATATCCACTGCTGACCACGGCAGCGGTTGGTTCTCGGGAAGAAACTGCCTCTCGGGGACGCGAGCAGCTTGCAGTGGAAGTCTCCAGGTGAGTTCAAGAGAGCCTTTATGCGAGACCGGCAACGGTCCTTTCAAGGGTGCGCTGGTGGGCAGGCTGGCCTCGACAGTGACCCCATTGTGGTTGACGCGAAATTTGCGTCCGTCGTCTAAGATTTCAGCCGCAGTGGTCTGGTCGGCAGGCGTAGGCAGAGATACTTTGACGGTAATCTGCCGGATGTTTGTGAGAAGCTCGGCATAGATGAGAATACTGCTCTTGGATGGTGGCTCGACGTTGGCCATGATAGACCAATGGAGCAGCAGAAGTGTTGAGGGAGGCGAGAGTGAGGTTGCTGGTCAGGTCGAAGCGCGGAAGCCACTGAGGTACGTACCTAACTGCCACTAATTTGGATATTGTAGCGCCGTCAGAGCGCTAAAGCCAGCTTTTAGTTGCATTCAGCACTGGTTGGGGCGCATCATCCCACTAAACCGGACAGCTTCGGCCCGCCCCCACATTGTCCCAACATCACAACGCCGGCCTTTTGGCATTGACAAACCTAACTACAATCTAGTTTCAACTCGCAGCTTATAATCTCAACCTCGTCGCCAACCATGGCTAGCATGCTGTCCTTCTCATCAGGCCCCGTGTCCACGTCTGGGCCCGAGGCTACCGCCGCAACGACTGTCGCCATCGAGGCGCTTCCCGTGCAAGACATCGAGGCAGACCAAGACCGCCGAGGTCGTTTGCTCAAGCATCTGCTCAAGGCCAACCACGTCAACTATGCCGTGGTGTACAAGAACCTGCAGCTTAATAACGTCAATTCTCACAATCTCTGCGCGGCCTATATTCTTGGCGCCAATGAGAACCATCTCGACAACATCTACAATGAGCAGATCAAGGACCTGGAGCCCTGGACCCCATCCCCCGCCGAGGTTATCGACGAGGACTGGAAGGACTTTGTGGGCGACCGCAATTACCAGCGCGCTTTTGTCGACTTTTACGAGGACAAGCTTGCTTTCAAATTTGCCTACGACTGGAAGCAAGAAATGCAGGACGTCTTGACGGACGGTGACAAGCCACTAATAAACTGTCTGATCGGTGCATGTCAGTACCAATCTACCCTACAACCATTACTGGAGCCTCTTCTAACTCGGCTTAGTTGGCCATCCCCTCAACCATCTGGCACTGGCTTATGAAATCAAGAGCAGGGCCCTCTCCATGGAAGCTCTGAGTCTCACCTGCATCCATTACAATGCGCTGCACAAGTACCTCGACGAACCCCGCTACACCAAGCCCTCAACATCACCATCCCTGTCTCTTCAAGAACTCATCTTGCGACTGGCAAAAGACGAAAGACTTCAGGGCATTGTAAGGCAAGACGAGCACGATAGTCTCGAATCACTCTTCTCACAGCATGAAGAACTGATCCTAGAGTACTGGAACGCCTGGCAAATTTTCGATGCAACAAGGCAGTTCCAAGACCTGCAACAGACTGCGGTAGCTCTGTTTGCATCGTCCGGAGTCAAGTCTTTCAGTTTTCTCACAGCGCAACTCTTAGCCACCAGCAACTCGATACGTATTCTCTTACCATATATCCCCGCTAAATTCCACGTATCTCTGCTGCGGCAATGGTGGCTTCTGGCCATTGCTGTCTGCTTGCTGACTGGAGGGCCTGAGCCGAACCCAGCCAATATTGAGAAAGATACAAGCGGCCGGACCTGGAAGCACGTTGTCGACAAGGCGATAAACGGCCCTTACTTGGCAGATGCCAGTTACATCAAAGGTATGATGGTCTTGGCCTCGCAAGGGATAGTACTAATTTCTCGCAGCCGTTCGAGCCATTAGGGAAGCCGCATCAACGTGGGGTGACGCCGACGATCTATACCTACGCTCTGCTCTTACATTTGTAGACAACTTTACAGAGTGGGCAGATTGAACATATCAAAACACTCCAAAATAATAAAAATCAAAATGCAATACTCTCCCATCCGTGAATATGCTAGGTACTTGGTCAATACCAGTGAGTTGTTCTCTGGAGCTGAACGCCTGTTTGAGTGGGCCAGACCCAGCTTAGCACAGTGCCCATCGACCAGTGTTGCCTGATGCTTCCCATCTCCAACATTTTACAGCCCCAACACCAGCACAACCGGCCATTGAATCATGCTAAATCGCCAGCACACCTTACCGATGCCCAATTCACGGTAATGGCCCCGCCAGCGAAGCGCCGCCGGCGGAACACGCTCGATTCGGACCCCGATCACGATGACGACGCGGACTACGACGACGGGCCGCCCCCCTCGCGCGCCAACACTCTCACCAACTTCCTCCTCTCTTCCCCGAGCTCTCCCACGAAATCACGCGTGGCGACCACGACCGCGTCTCCGAGCCCAAGCAAAGGCCGTGGCGCCGTCACATCCCGCAACGGCACCAGCCCCCGGAAGAACTCACAGTCCAGCGCCAGCCCCCGCAAGACGCGAGCCGCGAGCCGCGGTAGCGACGAAAAGGGCAAGAGCGGCGACCTGAAGCTGCTCTTCTCCAAACAGGCGCAGCGCACGTCCAAGGCCCTGCCGCCGCCGTCCGGGGGTGACGACAAGAAGGCGCTGCCACTCGACGACATCATCAGCGACCCCATCTCGGAAGAGGACGAGATTTCGGACCTCAAGGCGAGCTCGTCGAGCCTGGTCGGTCAGCATGCTGCGCGCAAACGACAACGAGGCTTGGGGAAGACTGTGTCACTGGACACGACGACGTCCAGTCAGCGATTCTTGAAGCCACCGCGGCCGAACAAGACCGACGACGACGACGACCGCCGCCCCTGGTCTGAGCGTTTCGGCCCACGTAGTCTCGACGAGTTGGCAGTACATAAGAGGAAGGTGTCTGATGTTAGGCGATGGCTCGATGAAGTGGTCAGCGGCAGGATGCGACAACGCCTGCTCATCCTCAAAGGTGCAGCAGGAGCGGGTAAGACGACGACGGTCCGTCTGCTAGCCAAGGAAATGGGCTACGAGCTTCTCGAGTGGAGGAACCCCGTCGGTAATGCAGGTACCGGATTTGTGTCAGCATCAGCCCAGTTCCAAGAATTTCTTGGCCGTGGAGGCAAATTTGGCGCCTTGGACCTTGACAGCCCGTCACCGACTTCAAATGCGCCTAGTAACGCAAACGCAAACGCGGACAACGACAAGCGAATCATGCTCATCGAAGAGTTTCCCAACACATTTTCCAGATCCTCTTCCACCCTGTCATCCTTTAAAGGAGCGCTGCTACAGTTTCTATCCAGCCATGTGCCGTCATTGTCCATGTTTTCGCAACCCGGGCGGCGGGAGCCGATCAAGCCGGTCATTCTGGTCATTTCGGAAACGCTACTCACGACAACCTCGGCATCTGCTGACAGTCTAACAGCGCATCGTCTGCTGGGGCCTGAAATCTTAACCCATCCTGGCGTCGGTGTGATTGAATTTAATGCCATTGCCCCTTCATTGTTGGCTAAGGCGTTGGAGCTTGTTGTTCTGAAGGAGGCAAGGAAATCAGGTCGGCGCCGAACGCCCGGTCCGATGGTCTTGAAGAAACTGGGGGAAATCGGAGATGTCCGTAGCGCCATTTCATCCCTCGAGTTTCTGTGCCTCAAAGGAGACCAAGACGCTGATTGGGGCGCCAAAGTCGCCTTTACGAAGCAGAAGAAGAGCACCAAAGATGGCATCAGCCTGACGCAGGGCGAGCAAGACAGTCTGGAATTGATTTCTCAGCGTGAAGCGAGTCTGGGCATATTTCACGCTGTTGGTAAAGTCGTATATAATAAACGAGAGGAAAGGGCGTCCGGTGATGCTGCAGAAATCCTGCCCAAGTACATATCTCAACACTCGCGACCGCAAAAGTCGCAAGTATCAGTCGACACTCTGATTGGAGAAACGGGGACAGACACGCACACCTTTATTTCGGCTCTGCATGAGAATTACATACTTTCCTGCGAGAGCACTGGCCCGATGGATCTTTCTACACCGATGGACTACGTCAACGAATGTATCGAGCATCTATCACTCAGCGATCTCATGTGTCCTTCTCAGGATGTCTTCTTTGGCGGTCGAGGTGGCTTTGCTGGCCGAGACTCAGGCAACCACATGCTTCGACAAGACGAAATGATGTTCGAGGTGGCTGTTCGCGGCATGCTCTTCTCGCTCCCCAACCCGGTCAAGCGCAAAACGATAGGCATGGCTAGAAGCACCGACGCCTTCAAGATGTTTTACCCCGCGAGCCTGAAGCTCTGGCGAGCGAAGGAGGAGATTGGCGGCCTCATTGACGTGTGGTCCTCGCGCCTACTCAGAGGCGAAGACCAGATTGCGACGAAGGAACTGACGGCCGGCGCGAACGCATTCCGTCGCGCCCCAGCCCTCGCCTCTTTGGCCACGCCGTTGAGCCAAGCCAGCCAGATGTCCTCAACAAAACGGCAAGAGTCCACCGCAGAAGACGACAGCTACACTCCCATGCTATCACTGGGCAGCGCCGCCCGCCGAGAGTTGTTACTCGAGAGACTCCCCTACACGGCGCAGATTGCTCGCGCGCGGAGAAGCGGTCCGATGCGCGAGCTGGAGAAAATAGTCTCATTCAGCGGCATTGCCGGCTCCAACGACGAGGAAGAGGACCTGGACGAAGAGGCCGGTATGGCAACGGGCGAGGCGTGGGCAACGGATAAGCCGTCTGAGGAAACGAGTCCGCGCAAGAAGCGCCAGGGCATCAAATCAGGCGCTGTAACGAGCATGCTGGCGCAGAAACTGGTGCTGAGCGATGATGATATCGAGGACTAGATGGGGTCATTCTGATACAAGGGAAGATATTGTGTATATTTAATAGCTTGTAATATTGGGTGGGATTGGAGTTGCGAATGATTCGATTGAAAGAGTACATGGGGAAGGGGGGGAAGGCGCAGGCTGTAACTGTACTAGACATATACCACTTGCTATTTGAAAAATAACTATTGACAACGACTCTTGCCAAGGGATGTGTTCTCAAACAGTGTGGTGTCTAGTGGCCAGTTAAGAATCAACTTATAACCACCCGAGAACTTAGCAGAGCCGGGCGAACATTGTGAATAAGTGACATGCCATAGAAATGTTTTTATATAAATGGGGAGAGCTACCACTCGAGTCTGCCAGAAGACCATATCACAATAGATTCGGGCAAATGCCAGATGCGTGGTGCAGAGAAGGATACTAGTCAACACAGAGCCCAACTGTGTAAGTCAATTGCCACTCAAATCCCAAGTGTCCATGCCAATTCTAAATCTCATCGGCGTTCGTTCTGGTCGCGTTCGAGGTAATCCGATTCATTGGCAGGCTCCGGTTCCTCCCTGGCCGTGTTTCGTAGGAACTGGCTGGCTCCAATGTACGATTGCCTCGCCTGGAGGGCAACGACACGAGCATCAACTGATGCCATCATGAGACCGAGTCGCGCTTCCCGGAGCAGGTCCTGAGCCCCGACACTAGAGGCGGGTTGGCCGCATCTTGTACTCTTTGTTTTAGTTTCCTTTTTTTTTTAAATTCATGAAACGTTTCCTCACTACTAAAAGTGCTCCTAACTCACTGGACTGTGCAACCGCAGTCGGTGACGACCGAGTCGTTGGCGCTGGAGGCCATTGTAAGTTGGGGACAGAAATGACCTGTTTGAAGGGGTAGTTTTGTAATGAAGAGGTACCCCTTGAAGACTTTTTCAAACTCGAGATGGATGGCAAAAAAAACATTGTCATTCGAGAAGAGAAACGACAGTCCTATTTATAATAAGCAGATTCGAGGCAAAAGGGCAACTACATGGCAAATGGAAAGGGAGAGCGTCTTTGACAAGAGGCCACGCCGGACCGTGCAGTCGACTCACCGCACAACCGCCCAAGTAATGACCGTGATTCAGTCTCGTTCAACGGCGTACAAGGCGATGTTCTTTGCCGTAACCATCGAGTTGTGGTTGCATCAAAACATCAGCTCGGGTGGGCGGCGGGCGGGGTTTCCCGGAGGCTGCCCGGGCGGTGTGCTCTTGTTGGGCCTCCCGCGCCAACTTGCGAGTGACGGAAGGTGAAGAAGGGGCGCGCGCGAGGTTGCCTCTTGATGGGTAGAATCTGGGCCTGGCCGGCTTCTGGGGAAACGAATATGCAAGCTTGCCTGCCTGCCTGCCTGCCTGCCTGCCCACAGATGTGCTGGCCAACGGTTGGCAGCCTTGCCCAGCGGATCGGTCGGGCAGCAACCAATCAAGGGAGTCTCGCGCCCTCTGCCACCGTGGTTTTAGAAGGGACCCATGGCGATAACTCGATGCCAAACGTGCTTGCTGATATGCATGCTTCACAACGGCTCGGCTGCTGCACACCACACTGGTTCTCCCCGTGGCCCGGATCCTTGCACAGCATCGTGTTTACAGGGCATTGTCCCTTTGAAACAAAAGCTCCGTGTTACGCTCTCCAAATATTTGCTTTGAAATCTGGTTCTGCACAACTACTGTCCGTTGAGTCTCTGCCCAGTGCTCTCTCGACCCCACCCCCACCCCCAAGTCGCCGCAAGGATGAGGACCCCGAGGCCGTATCGTGACAGGCTTCAAGATTTTTACGTGGAAAACGGCGTTATTCTGGACGGTACCTGGGAATTTATGGGGTAGGAGCACGTCTTGTCTTGCACGGTGGGTTTGATGCGAGGGCGGGTTGGTGCTGTCTATCTGTCAGAACGCGGCTCATCCCGCCTATATACGGAGTCCTCATGAGAAATTGGGCTCTCAAACTTGATAAGCCTGTATAGTTACAATTTTTAACAACTATTGTAGAGTTTATCCTCGCGATGTATTTATCCTAGAAGGGGGTATTTCCACCACGCGCTCGGAGCCCATCATGCGCCAACACCTTGTACTCGCAGACAGACACGGCAAGAAAGTCGAGTTACGAATATTTATCAGTACTGTAGTACAAAGAAGCATAGATGTGAAATTAATAATTGATTCTAAGTACATGCTATGAGCTGGGGTGGAAACAAGGGTGCGGGACGAATGTAAATGTCAGATAGAAATTGCGACGAATGTAAATGTCAGATAGAAATTGCCCCCGATATCAAGGTAGTCTGCATCACCCATGATGGTATGAGGATCAACCATGAGGGTGTCATCGTCAGTCATGGTAGTATCGGCTTCGGTCATGATAGTATCGACTTCAGTTATAACTTGATCGGCTCCAGTCATGAGAATATCCCCATCAAGCACGTTAGCATTGTCGGTCTTGATCGTATTAACGTCAGTCATGACTATATCATTGTCACAGGTAACCGTATCATCGTAAGAGAAGAAGTTTTCGTCGTCAGAAAATTTCATTTCAACGTCGGAGGTGATCAGCGTTTGGGGGTGTTGATATACTGTCAGGCTCTGGTTCTGCTCTGGCCGAGTATGGTAAGACATTGTATAGCTGTGTGTCAAGGCGGTATAATGGTCTCGAAAGGTGGTATACTTGTTTGTCAAGGTGGTATTATCTGGAGTCATGGTATTCTTACAAGTCACGATAGGATTGGGAATGCCCTGCCTTATGTGAGTGTCTGGAGAGAGAGTTTTTACGCCCAGAAGGTTTGCCAATGTACCTTTGCTACTTTTACTTTTCGCACAATTGTACTTCACCTTGGCTATTCTTGCTACTTTTACTTTTCGCACAATTTTACTTCACCTTGGCTATTTTATATATAGTAGTGCTAAGAGGATGAGAGTTTTCTTGCTAGGGTCGCGAGCCTCGCCTGAGGAAGGTTTTCGAAGTGAAGACACTTTACTAGTGCAAGTATGGAAAGTTAAATAGCTACATTTATATTATCTATTCGGGAAGAATTTGTTGGAATTAGTATTCTTACGTGTGTATCCCTTGAGGCCCCTTGAAGGCAGGAAAAATGCCCCTTTGAGTAATGTAGTGGGTTGAGAAGCTCTGGGTGGCTCAATCGCAATGGTGCCAGCGGTAGTGGCGATGGCGGCGCGTGGCGTGTTAGTGCGTGGCGTGTTAGTGCGTGGCGGGTAAATACATTATCGATTCTGGAAGATGCTGCTATGGCGTGCCGTTGCGAAGACTTTCACTTTCATTCCTGCTTGAAACGTAGGCTTTGAATATTATGCACCTCAGGCTCGATCGAGGGGGGGCTCGGTTGATGGGCAGCGCCGCTCAGAGTCCTATCTTGGAAAGGAATCCAGGAAAGGCAGTTCTGTGGTGTGATTGCCTGTAATACGAAGAGGAATCAATAGTTTCTTTCAAGACGAAAATACGATTACTTTGCATTTCGTTCATGTTGGCGACCTAATTATTCTTATTCGCATTATCGATGCGATACAATAAAACCGAGATACAATGTCTGTTATTGGCCAACGCCCCATTAAAGTGCCACAGCCCGACAATACTGGACACAAACATCAGACATATCAGACTCTCCAAGATGCCCCGTCGCATGTTTTTTGTTCATCGTTGGTCCAAAGGCAAGCGCCCCTATTTGAGCCGAGAGCGGGCGGTTCTGTAACAAGTTAGCGCCTGGGACCGAAACACGCGAGAGTTGGTTGCGGGGCATCGGCCAATAGGGAACTGATTAATTGCCAGTCGCTCAGTGGCTCCTGATGGCAAGAACCTTTGCGCAATGCGCTTTCGACTACCAACAGATTTTCTAGAAATATGAATTGTCATGGAATAGTCTAGCTGTTGAATCGAGTAAAAGAGCTCTTGAAGTTTCAGGTATGGACTTTTGCTGTAGTCTTGGTCACGACCATCGCATTCGTATTCGGAAAGCGGCTGCAAGTCTCCACCAAGCCCTGCGCCTCTCGAAAGATTTCAAATTGGTTACCAGATCCCTCGCTCAAAGCGTCGCCTCCCCGTCCCTTCTCTTTTCCTCCTGGCATACAAGAAGCGACGATTGCACCGTCACCTCTTGTTTCGTTTTCCTCTCCCTACGATCCGTCGCTCCCCTTATTGCGTTCCTCCCTGCTGTCCCCCCTCGATTCCGCCCCCAAACAGTCGTTGCCGCCGCCATCATGGGTGTCCTCCAGGTCGCCGCGAACCACCCGCTGGTGCACCAGCTCCAGGCCCAAAGCGTCGTCATCCAGTCCGCCATCTTGGTCTTTGGCTTCATCGCCCTCTCCGTCGTCCTCAACGTCGCCGGCCAGATCCTCTTTAAGAACAAGAATGAGCCCCCCATGGTCTTCCACTGGTTCCCCTTTATCGGCAGCACCGTTACCTACGGCATGGACCCTCCCACCTTTTTCCATTTGAATCGCCAAAAGGTGAGCTTTCTTCTGCTGCACTCGTCCTTCCTTTTTTCTTTCCCTTGCTAACGCATCCTTGCGCAGTATGGTGACGTCTTTACGTTTATCCTCCTCGGCAAAAAGACGACCGTCGCCGTTGGCCCCGCCGGCAACGAATTCATCCTCAACGGCAAGCTCAAGGACGTCAATGCCGAGGAAATTTACACTGTCCTGACCACGCCCGTCTTTGGCCGCGACGTCGTCTACGACTGCCCCAACGCCAAGCTCATGGAGCAGAAAAAGGTACGACTGCGCCACACGCCCAGCCCACGGCGACCACTTCGCTAACACGCATTCCGCAGTTTATGAAGATTGCCCTCACCACCGAAGCCTTCAAATCCTACGTCCCCATCATCTCCAACGAAGTCACCTCGTACTATAAGCGCGACGCCGGCTTCAAGGGCGCCACCGGCATCGTCGACGTGCCTCTCAAGATGGCTGAAATCACCATCTTCACCGCCTCGCACGCGCTCCAGGGCAGCGCCATCCGCCGCAAGTTTGACGTGTCCCTGGCCGCCCTCTACCACGACCTCGACATGGGCTTCACGCCCATCAACTTTATGCTGCACTGGGCGCCGCTGCCCTGGAACCGCCGTCGCGACCACGCCCAGCGCACCGTTGCCAAGATTTACATGGACACCATCCAAGAGCGCCGCGCCAACGTCGACGACCACGAGCTCGACATTATGAAGCACCTGATGAACTCGAGCTACAAGAACGGCACGCCCGTACCCGACCACGAAGTTGCCCACATGATGATTGCGCTCCTCATGGCCGGCCAGCACTCGTCGTCATCGACCAGCTCCTGGATCATGCTCCGCCTGGCGCAGAACCCGCAGATCATGGAGGCCCTCTACGAGGAGCAGGTCAAGGCCCTCGGCGCCGACCTCCCGCCCCTGCAGTACGAGGATCTCGCGAAGTTGCCCCTCAACCAGGCCATCATCAAGGAGACCCTGCGCCTGCACGCCCCCATCCACTCCATCATGCGCGCCGTCAAGCAGCCTCTGCCCGTCCCCGGTACAAAGTACGTCATCCCGACCTCGCACGTCCTTCTCGCCGCGCCCGGCGTCAGCGCCAGCGACCCGTCCTTCTTCCCCAACCCCGACGCTTGGGACCCCTACCGCTGGCTCCCCGGCTCGTCCAACGCTCCGACCATTACGGCCCGCAGCGACGAGGAGGAGGAAAAGGTTGACTACGGCTACGGCATCGTCAGCAAGGGCGCTGCCTCGCCGTACCTGCCCTTTGGCGCCGGCCGCCACCGCTGCATCGGCGAGCAGTTTGCCAATGTGCAGCTACAGACCATTGTCGCCGAGACGGTCCGCGAATTCAAGTTTGCCAATGTCGACGGCAGCGACAAGATTATCGGTACCGACTACACCTCCCTCTTCTCCCGCCCTTTGGAGCCTGCCAAGATTCGCTGGACGCGCAGGGATTAAACCAAGTTAGACTATAGACTGTGTAAACAGGATGCAAGTGTAAACGGATCTGGGGGTTTTCCTGGGTCCCAGGAGCTGTACATGTATATATTATTGGGATCGCCAAGGCTTTTTTTTTTTGAATGAGGGATGGGTCCAGAGGGAAACCACGATAGAATTTTGAAGCTTTACAATGAAAGCTCGTTTAGTAACTAATACATAATGCCTACAAGAACACTTGATCACATCTCTGCTGCTGCTCAGGGTCAATATTGATGATGCTTTTTTTGTGTTGCTGTAACAAGTAGATGCTAGATGGAATATATGTGCGTACCGCTATGCCGATTCAAACGAAGAAAGGAGTTACAAATGCGATTTTGAGTGCTGCCCAAGGTGAACAAGGACCCATGAACAAGGACAAAACAACAGCCACACCCAAAACGAACTCCATGTTCAACAAACAAAAAGAGGTATACGTGACAATTAGGAAAAAAGGAAAATCTATACAAGACGTTGAACACGTCACGTCTCCAGGTTTTGCAGCGGCACGTAGCCCTCGTCACCTTTGCCTCCGGCGCGGCCACCACGCAGCAGCATCTCCCTGACCCAACCCACAACGCCGCGTCCTCTCTGCCAGCGCAGCCCACCGGTGCGTTCCGCGGCCGCCTCGTCCATCCAGCGGGGTCTGCGCCAGAGTTTGAGCAGCAGACTCGACACGACGACCGACACGGAGGAGCAGGCCATGGCGAAGCCGGCCATCATGGGGTGCATGTGGACACCGAGCGGCAAGAAGAAGCCCATGGCGACGGGCAGGCCGACGAGGTTGTACAGGCAGGCCCAGCCGAGATTCAGCTTGATGCGGCGGAAGATGCTGCGCGTGAGGGCGAGCGCGGCCGGGATGCAGATGAGGTCCGAGGGCCGCATGAGCACCACGTCGGCCGCCTCCATGGCGACGTCGGTACCAGACGACATGGCGATGCCGACGTCGGCCGTGGCGAGCGCGGGCGAGTCGTTGATGCCGTCGCCGACCATGGCGACGACATGGCCCTGCGCTTGCAGGCTGCGGATGATGGACTGTTTCTGGTCGGGTGAGGCGCCGGCGAAGACGTCGGCGGGGGGGATGCCGACGGCGGCGGCGACAGCGAGCGCCGTGGAGCGCTGGTCGCCGGTGACGATGGCGGTTTGGATCTTCATGCGGTGCAGGACGGCAATGGCGGCCGCGGCGCCGTCCTTGATGGTGTCGGCGAGGCAGAGGTGGCCGGCGTATTGGCCGTCGACGGCGACGAAGATGTTGGTCGTGCCGGCGGCAGTACTGGTGGTTGTGGGTTTGCTGGTGGTCGTGGAGTTCTTGGCGGCGTGCACGTTGAGCTGTTCAGCGGCCTCGACGGCGTCTTCGGGGACGGGGATGCCGTGGTCGTTGAGATGCCGCAGGTTGCCGGCGACGATGCGGTAGCGCGTGCGGTCGGCCGACATCGCGGGCTCGACCTGCGCGACGACGCCACGGCCGACGTTGACCTTGAAGTCGCCGACGCTGCCAGGGAGAGCAGCCTCGGGCCCTAGCCCCAGCTCGTCTTTAGCCGCGCCGAGAATAGCCTTTCCGACTGGGTGCTCGCTGCCCATCTCTGCAAGACCGACAATGGCCCACCACAGACGGCGGGTCGCGTTGGTCGTTTCCCACGCAGGCGTGAGCGTCATGCGCGCCACGCTCATCTTGCCGTGAGTAATAGTACCCGTCTTATCAAGGACGACCTTGGTCACTTTGGTGGTGCGCTCGAGCGCCGCGCCGCCCTTGATGAGGATGCCGTTCTCGGCGCCCACGCCAGTACCGACCATGACGGCCGTCGGCGTGGCCAGGCCGAGCGCGCACGGGCAGGCAAACACAATGACTGAGATGCATAGCTTGACGCAGACCATGATCTTTCCGCCGCTCGCGTTTTGCAGAAAAATGGCCGGCGGGTGCGCGAGCACGTGCGAGAGCACCATCCAGGTGAGAAACGTGCCGAGGCCGAGGACGAGAATGGTGGGCACAAAGTAGCCAGCGAGAGTGTCGGCGACCTGTTGGATGGGCGCGCGCGTCGTCTGCGCGTCCTGCACGAGGCGCACAATCTGGCTGAGCTGCGTGTCGCGGCCGGCGCGCGTGACGCGGAAATCAATGCGCCCGTTGCCGTTGACAGTGCCGCCAATGACGTTGTCGCCGAGTCGCTTCTGCACCGGCATGGCCTCGCCCGTCACCATGCTCTCGTCGACGTAGGTTTCGCCACGGACGACGGTGCCGTCGGCGGGAATCTTGTCGCCGGGCCGGGTAATGACAATATCGCCCAGCTGCAGCAGCTCGGTGGGGATGGACCGTTCCTCGTACGCGGAGCCTTCGGCGCCGGGGGCGCGTGGGGTACGCGGCGTCGTGGCGGCGTCGGCCGACTTGGCCCAGGCCTCGGCGGCCTTCTCAGCGGCGATGGGGTCCGTGTAGATGGTGGCCATGGACGGCGCCAGCGACATGAGGCGCGACAGGGCCTTGGACGTTTGCCCCTTGGCGCTGTTTTCGAGGTAGCGGCCAAAGGTGATGAAAGTGATGAGCATGGTGCTCGTGTCGAAGATGGTGCTGGGCCGCGAGTGCGGCGGCATGAGGATCGAGACCAGCATGGAAAAGACGCTAAAGAAGAAGGCAGACGACGTGCCGAGGATGACGAGCACGTCCATGGTGGGCGAGCCGTGCTTGACCGACTTGTACGCGGAAATGTAGAAGCGCTTGCCGATGCCAAACTGCACGGGTATGGTGAGGGCCAGGCAGATGACGTCGCCAAGGAAGAGGCCGGGGCAGAGTGAGACCTTGCCAAAGTCCAGGCTCGGCAGTGCCATGGGCAGAATCATGCCAATGATGAAGACGGGCACGGCGAACAAGACCGACGCCCGGAATGCCGTCCGCCACTCGGTAATCTCGCGTGTCTTGGCAAGTGACTCGAGCTGCGCATTGTTGTCCTGGCTGTCGGCCACCAGCGCGTTCAGGCCCTCGGCCTCGACGGCCTCGACAATGGCGCGCAGCCCAATGACGGACGGGTTGTGGGTGACGGACAGCCGGTCGGTGGACAGGCTGAGCGAGGCGGACTTGACGCCGGCAAGTGCGCGAATCTTGGCTTCCAGCTCCCGGGCCACCGTGGCATCCGGGTTTCCGTAAATCTTGAACTGAGCTGTCGTGGTGCCGGTGCCGACATCCTGCACGTCAAAGACGGACGACAAGACGGCGGCGTCGAACCCTCGGTCCTCGATGATTTCAGCGATTTTGTCAGCGGAGATTTTTGTCACGTCGTGTGTGATGACGGCTCGCTCGGCGAGCAGACTAATGTTGAATTTCAAAATGCCTTGGACGCCCTTGAAGCCACCTTCGACGGCCGACGTGCACGCGCCGCACGTCATGCCCTCAATCGCCAGCGTCGTTGTGGCCACGCTGCTAGCCGCCTCATCCTTTTGATCTGCCGCTGGGGCCACCCGCACGCTGTCAATGATCTCGGCGTCAAACCCGCGGTCCTCTATTATCTCGGCAATCTGCTCTGCCGTCAGGCGACTGGCGTCGTGCTCGATGACGGCGCGCTCGGAGAGTAGAGAGATGCTAAAGGTGTGGACGCCGGGGACGTTTTTGAAGCCGCCCTCGACGGCCGACGTGCACGCGCCGCAGGTCATACCCTCGACGGCAATTGTCGTGGTAAATGTGTTCGGCTCGAGGGAGACGCTCGGGTGGCGGGAGGCGACGGGGCTGGGTAGGTCGGTGGCGATGACCTCTGCTTCGAAGCCGCGGTCGTCGATGATTTCCTGGACCTGGTCGGCAGAAATCTTGGCCGGGTCGTGCATGACGACGGCGCGCTCCATGACGAGGCTGACGGAGACGCTGCCGACGCCTTCGAGGCCCTTGAAGCCAGCTTCAATGGCCGATGTGCATGCGCCGCAACTGTAGAGGACCAGGGTTAGTATGGCACAATGATGCTTCAACGCTGGACTTTGGCGCAGGCTAGCCAAGTCGGAACCGTCAAGCAGTCTCTCCAGCTGGGGAATGAACTCACGTCATACCGCTCACGCGCAGCGTGGTTGTGGCCATGTGTGCTGTGGCGGGAGAAGCCAAGGTCGCAGACAAATGGCTGGTCTCCCGTTTGGGAATCTGAATGGGTGAGGGAGCCATCCTGGGCGCCAAACTGGAAGCCGGAAAAAAAGAAGAAAAAAAAGGCCCTCGTGCACAGCACCTAGCTGGCTGGCGCAGCCGTCAGAGTCGCGGGGTATATGAATATGGTAAAATGAACAAGAGAGAAATGAATAAGAGAGAAATATGAGTGTTGATCCGGAGATGTCGGAAAAAGAGGCAAACGCAAACACAGCCAGCAACCCAGGTCGGTGCAGGATGTGGCGCCTTGTTTGACCGGGGGGACAAACGCTGCTGATGCGACGCTTTATAATTTATCAGCGGACGAAGCGGAAGTTGCGGCAGGTCTGTGGGGGCGGTTTCGCCTTGAGTTGTAGGTAGGAAGGAATTATTAAGGAATTCTGAGAGGCCAGCTACCCGCGCAGAGGATAGCAAGTAAAACGAGTTGGGCAGGGCGTTGGTTCTGCCAGTGCCGGGCCAAGAAAATATTCGAGAAAATATTCGACAAGAGAAAGTGTGGGAGGATATAATGTTACCACAGTGTCCCGTAGAGGTAAATATGAGGCCGTTGCGAGAGGCTGTCCAAGTAATTCGTACTGTAGCGCAGAAACCAAATCTGCAAAAATCGCACCACTAGACAGAGGGGTAGCCTTGAAGATATGCACTGTGACCATGCAGTGTCATCCAAGTCATCCAACCCCGCCAAGATAGGTGGTGGTATGAGGCTTTGGTGAAAGTCGCTCGGTTGAAAGTCGCTCGGTTGTAACGTGTGGCCTGCGAATCGAGGGAACAGTGAACTGTCCGTGTGCTCGCCAATTGGACGGGCGGTGGTACTGTGGCCGAGGGACCTAGCGTTGACGGCGAGATTGGTTAGGTAATTAATTTATTATAAGCGTCGGCAAGAGATGCAGCTGATAATATAATAAGAAGAAGGCGAGATGACGGGGTGGAAACCAGAGCACGGCATCTACTCGGGGGCTATGATGCATAATATACAATTCGGCAATCCCATCCCCACTCCCTAGGTAGGTAGGTATTAGTTATTCCTCTCCTCGATATTTCCAACTCGTGCTGTTTTGCTTCTTGGGATTTTTTCCCCTTGTTTTCCAAACAAATCAGCCGTTTTACTGCCAATTTCGCCCTCAGGGCACATCATCGCAGCTAGCGCCGCCTAATCGCCTACTAGGCTGTTGTAGCTCGTTGGTGTTTCACATCACCACTCACCCCATGCCGATGACGCCAGTTTTTAGCCAGAATCTGGTACCGTCCGTGTTTGACTTTTTTTTCATCTCGAAATGATCCCAAAACACATGTAAAGCAAAAAGGGGAGGGCGAGCGGGCGGACGGGTTGTCGGGCCTGTGGTGGAGGGCGATACGTTTCAGGGCTGTTTCTTGGGTTTCTTGGTGTCCCTATCCGCTAAAAATGGCCTCAAAACTCGGCGTCGTCGCTGTAATGCCAGTCAGTAACTTGCTCTTCCATTGTAGCCGCTTTGCCTTGCCACATTCAAATGTGCCGCATCAGCGAGCGCCACCCCCGAGATGGACAGGCAAACGCGGCAAGCCGAACCGTGAGAAATGCCAATCCGGCCATCCGCTTCCTATTACTGAGAACGGCAATATCGGAGCATCATTGTGCGCCTGTAGGTGGGTGTACCGAAATCACAGACCTGCGTCTGGCCTGATAATGAGCGACGCGGCCGCAGCGCAATTCGCCCGCCGCTGTCCGTGCCAACAGTGCGCCCGGGTGCTCGGCCACGAACGGCACCAACAATAGCTCGGTAATAAAAGCATCACGAGGTTCTTCCGACGTTATTGCCAAGTTCAACTGCCAAGATATGTCTGGACAATATTGCTTTGTTACCCTCCCGTGGCTCATTTAGTACATAGGTAGTTAGTCCGCGATCTAATCGCTTCAAACACCCAGCATCCTACCCGGTAGTAAACCTCAAGGTGCAAAAGCTTCGTCTAGCCAGCTTCTTCTGTCCTGTTTGTACTCGGGCGAGCATGTATCGTGGGGCTGGTCTCCTCTCGCTTGTTTGTTTTCTATCGGGATGAGTTGTTGATTGATGATCGGTTGGTTGCCAACGAAGGCCTGGCCATGTAAGCGCATCAGTGTGAGAAGCCAACAGAGGTCACTCCGCAGTCCACAGACCTACCGTTGCAGACAGTAAAGTACATTCACGCCAACCCAAACAAGCTTTCCCTCTAAAAGTTATCCTTAAATTTTGTATACCATTCATCACCAACATCTCGCCTGATTGAGCAGTACATGCTCACGCTAACCCTGCCAGCGATCCCGGCAACTGCCCCGCGTCACTTCAGGCAGGCAGGCAGACGCGCCCCGCTTAAACGAGCAACCTCGAATCCGATCGCCTCCAAACGTAGGAGCTGTTGTTGCCTTGCCATTTTTTTGCATCTTGACATTAGCTCCCATCTTTCCATCATGGAGCAAACCAAAGCGTTGAATGCACTCGAGGTAGGAAATCAAGCTCCAACCACGCCGACTCCCGCTCCTTTCCCCCCTCCCCATCACCATAGCTAACATCCCACCGCCGTCTGCCAGCCGTTCATCGCCCTCTCCAAATCGGCCAGCTCGCCCCGCGCCGCCGCCGACCTCATCTCACGAGCGACCTCGGCACCCAACACCTACATCTTCGCCGAACTGTTACAGTCCCCCGCCCTCCAGACCCTCGCGGCCGCGCACCCGACCGACCTCGCGCCGCACCTCGCCCTCCTCCGCCTCTTTTCCTACGGCTCCTACGCCGAGTATGAGACCACACCCGGCCTGCCACCGCTCAACGATGCGCAGCGGCTCAAGCTGCGGCAGCTGAGCCTGCTGTCCCTCGCCGCCTCGGGCCGCCGCGCGGATCTGAGCTACGCTGACCTCCTGCGCACCCTGCGGCTCGACGCCCCGCGGGAGCTGGAAGTGCTCGTCACCACGGCCATTTACGCCGGGCTGCTCGACGCCAAGCTCGATCCGGCCCGGCAGCGCGTGCAGGTCACGCGCGTCGCGCCCCTGCGGGACCTACGGCCCGACGAGGACGTGCCGCGCATGCGCGCCGCGCTGCACGCCTGGTCGGACCGCTGCGCCGCCATCATCGACGACGTGGAGAGGCACACGGAACAGGTACGACAAGGGGCCGCCGCGCGGGCTGTGGCGGAGAACGTGGCGGCGAACAAGATGGCCAGGGCCGTGACCGACTTTCGCGAGATGGAGAAAAAGAGCGGCGGGAAGGAACCGATGCCCCGCCGCGCGGGCACCGGCAAGAGAGTGATGCTGGAGACGCCGGTCAAGAGCAAGACGGACGAGGACATGGATGTGGATGGCCCATTTTCGGGCGAGGACGGCAAAAAAAGGGCCGGCAAGAGGAAGATGTAAGCTGCCCAAGGAGGACAGGAGACGACGAGAAGGGTTTGCTTTTTGAGGGAAGGAGGGATACATCAGTGGATGACTAGCATAGAGACGAGGAGCGAAAAGCCATGAGAGCCTATTTTTAACATCAACGAGCTTGCACCTAACGGTGCTGTAATGATATATACTACATGAATATAAACACACGACTTCTTATTTGCACACTTGAAGATGGAGGCTCCCCTCTGTTTTCCGTCGTTCTGGACTCGGCAAGCTTGCTATCCAATATCCCAACTAAGGTGTTGCTTCTCACTGTAACACCACTGGATTGCACCCGACTTCTAGACGGGCATGGTTTTAAAGATATTCAAAGAAAGCCCCCGTTGTGAATCTACTAGCTATAGAAAAATGACAAAAAGAGCACTTGAGCTTAACAAAAAAAGAACGTACAGCACCCAGAGTTCGTTGGTCGTCACCGACCCAGCTACTATTTGAGCGCTCGAGTGGTTATCGCTCGGAGATCAGACGGGATCCAGATTGGTCACTCGGCTATGGCCGTACATGTTGATTAGGTCCTCTATTGGGGTATATAATAGAGGGTGACAGCACCAGCCTGATTCGACCCCGACGTTGCTGTATCAATATCAAACTCACTCCGTCTAGGATTAACATCATCTCCACATCCCCTCTCCCCCCTCTTCATAACGGTCGTCAAAAGGAATAATGGAAAAGAAAAGATAACAATTGGAAGCAGGCACTCTGCCAGAAAATAATAGCAAGCGAGTTCATGGCATAAAAACAGGTCGCGGGTATTATATTATGTACTGTGGTTCGATAGTCATTGTGGCGCCATTCTCTCTCACAGCCGCTTGCCCGGCACAAAGATGAACAAGACGCATAAAGCGGCTGTAACGAGCGTCGTCGCGAGGAGGACAATAAAGGCTCGTTTGACAAGGAGGGTGCGGACGTAGGGTTCGCGGATGCGCGAAAAGTTGAAAGGCGTGTATTCGCTGAAGCCAAGGAGGGCCATGACGGGGTCCAGTGAGTACTGGTATGAGGCGAGAAAGTAGACGCCCACTGCAAATGGCAGAATAACCTAATAAAGTGTCAGCAATGGCGAGTAAAAATATCGTCACGAGGCTCCTGTAATCGTACCCAGCATCTTGTGGCTCTGCTCTTGTTGAGAAATATGAGAACAAAGGCAGTCCAGAAGGCGCCAAACATGGCCACGAGGCCGAGAATCAGACGCATCACCAGCGTGGGCGGGATCAGGTTACCCAGGGCCTTCATACGCAGGAAGCCTGGAAAGGCGTCGCGCTCCATGGCCTGGAAGACGTAGTCCTTGGCCGTGTCAAAGACCTCGGGGTCGTCGCGGCCATGCTCCTCAATGGCGCTGATGACGTCCTGTGTGATGGAGCCGGGCAGGATAATCTCGCGCTCCGCGCCGGGCAGTAGAAACGTGTACAGAATCTTCTCCGCCGACGCCCGAATGTCCTGCCGCGAGACGGTGTGCGCGGGCGAGTGGGAGTCGGTCAGGTCGCGCGCGGCGCTGCTGCCACTGGCCGCCGTCATGGGGCTGGGCCGGTGCGAGCCGGGTGTGTGCGGCGACTCGCGCTCCGACTGCTCCTCGCGCAGAAACGCCGACATTTGCGCGTCCTGGTTCTTTTCCTTTTCCGTCGCGTACATGGTCGGACCGGCCGGCCGGGGCTCCAGGTCGCCCATATGGTCGAGGATTGTTGAGGACCGCTTCGAGGCGCCGCCACCGACGCGCTCCATGTCTGGGGTGGCGACGAGCACGGAGCGTCGCAGCTCACGGACGTAGTGGCGGCATAGTGACATATGCTGGGCAACATCGAGCCTAGAGAAAGCGTGTGTTAGTCTGCTGTTGTCGAGTTGGAAGCTATATACTCCCAGGGCGATGTTCTGAGCCCAAGCATGAAGGAACGGTCGTACCAAAAGTCCAGATAGTCCACCGACCGCTGCTGGTCTCGCATATAAATGTAAAATGAAAACAAATCTACCGGCGGTAGCGTTCTTCTGCTCAGCACTTCAAAGAGCGTCGGTAGTCGGTTCCGGTTGAGATCTGGCTGCGCCATCGGCGCGCCCATGGTGCTCCATCGGGCCACCATGACGGGCTTGCGAGAGAGATTTGGATGAGGTCGTGTTGCGGGGGAGAAAAAGCCAGCGGCAGGCGATTAAACCTCGCGGAGGTGGTTAGAAAAGGAATCTTGGACTGTCGGCTCTTCAAAGGTTGATTTGCGGGTGCGGTGAGAAATGGCTGGGCTGAAAGGAAACTGGGCGAGCAAACGCAGTTGAGGGAGGCGTTTCACAAAAGCTCGTTCGCGTTCCCCTTGAATTGGCAGATTAGGCGTGGCTGGTAAAGTAGCGCAAGGAGATAAACAGTGGTGAAAAGAGGAAAAACAAAGACCGGCAACGAAATACGAGGCGGCGTTGTTTGCAACACCTTCCCCCAGGCCGGTGCTTTAAATTGGACTCGTCACCAGTTTTTGGAAGCAATGCAGCGCTGGGGACACATCAAATAACAAGGTCGACTGGCATCAAAGCCACTTGAGTGAACTGGGGCAGCTCCTGTGGACGGACCCCATTCGACGATTGACTTATTATTATTAGCCGTCTCGGAAGGGGCAAGCAACAAGCACACTGAAAAAGGTACGTACAGTAGCACGTGACTAGCAGCCTCCAGGCCCAGCGACGATGGCCCTGATTGGCTCGCTACCTCCCCACCCACCACCAGTTTTCCAAGCCTGCCCTACGCACAAAGATTTTGCGGAATTTGCGAACCCGACCAACCCTCGACATACTTCAACCGCCCAGATACCTTGAACAGACGAGATATAGGTACGAACGCCAAACCTCTTCCCAACCTCGAAGCTTTCTTGCACCATACATACCCATCGTTGCTCCTTTCGAACTCGATACCCCTGAACAATCGCCCTTTTATCGAATTTTTGGTCCTGCCCGCGACCACGCATCGCTGACAGTCAGTTACAGAAATGTCGTCCAAGAAGCCAACCGGAAAGGCCCAGCGCTCCGCCATTGCGGACGTTGTTGCCCGCGAGTACACCATCCACATGCACAAGAGAGTACGTCGTTTGCGAACGCGCCAATGTCTCTGTTTCGGAGCCGCGACAACGGAGACATGGGACGCGCAGGCGGATATACAAGGAACGGAGGAAGGCTAACGGTTGATGTAGCTACATGGTGTCACCTTCAAGAAGCGTGCCCCCCGCGCCATCAAGGAGATCAAGGACTTTGCCGTCAAGGCCATGGTACGAACCCATTCCTTTATCCGAACAAACCGACCAAGTTGCGAACCGTTTCTACACCAATCATGCGAGATTCGAGGCCACAACTTGGTTGCGGCACTGCCGGACCGACCACGAGAACGAAATTACTGACCGATGATACACACAGGGTACCACTGATGTCCGCGTGGACCCCGCCCTGAACAAGAAGGTATGGGAGAACGGTGTCAAGGGCGTCGCCTACAGACTGCGCGTCCGCATTTCCCGACGACGTAACGACGAGGAGGGTGCCAAGGAGAAGCTGTACAGCTACGTCCAGGCTGTCAACGTCAAGAACCCCAAGGGTCTCCACACCGTCCTGGTTGAGGAGTAAGAGTCGCCTGCTTTGGGTCGATGTGGAAATGGTTGAGGGGACACGAAAAAATTAAAACACTCTTGAACGGGAAAGAAGAAGAATGAAAAAAAGAATAAAAGACATTTTTCTTTTCGGAAATGGATTCTTTCTTTTCGGTTGGGCATGGCATTCTGGAGTTGCAACCGGCTTTTGTAGCTTTTCACGCTGATTAAACAAAAAAAAACAATAACAGATGAACTGTGAAATCACACTACGAGCCGAGTGTTTGTTTTTACTTTGTGTGTGTCGGTGTTTGGTAGTTGACATGGATGAGAAAGACGAAACAATGTTGATAACGAAGAATACAATTCATTGTACAATCAGTCCTTGGGCCTGTTGGCAACCAGTGCACACCGTCTTCCTGCAAACTCGCTCATGCTGATGCAAACCAAGAACCATGCGCGCGGAATTCCAAGTAACAAAGGACCCCAAGACTCCCAAAATTTCTCCCATATAAACAAATGCGGCCATCGTGATGCAAAAACACACACACACCATCAACTCCACCTACTCCTCTTCCACGTCGCGATGTCTAGCCAAAACCTTGCGCTTAAACTCTTCCATGTCACTATCCCAAAGCTCGGCAGCCTCGCCGTTGAGCGGAGAGGAGCTACATATCATGTTAGCACAAACCTTCTCCAAGTAGAGAGATGGGAAAGGCACATTGGCCCCGGAAACAAAAAAAACACATACTTGTTGGGCTCGCCCAAGAGGCTTTGCAGGCTGAGGAGGACAGTCTGAATGTTGTAGGCGGCCGTCCACTTATCCTTGAGAATGTCGAGGCAGATGCGGCCGGAAAAGTCGACGTTGGGATGGTAGATTGGTGTCGTGAAGAGGACCGTGGGCGGGGCGTAGGGGTAGTTGGAGGGCAGGGCAAAGCTGAGCTTCATGGTGAGGCCGGCGTAGGGCGTGTCGTCCGGGCCTTGGATGGTGGCCGTCCAGGCGAGCAGGTTGCCGTCGGCCGATGGAAACGCGGAGACGCCGGGGGCGGGCGATGTCATGAGCTGCATGAGCTCCGTCTGCAAGCTGCACACGGGACATTGATTAGCAAGCTGGTCCCGTTGGCAGCGTGGAGCTAGAAGGGAGCGACCGTCTTGCGTTCCGACTTACCGCTTGGTGACGCTCTGTGAGTCGGGTCCCTTGCGCGAGGCATTGAGCGTGGCAGCCTGAACGCTGCCGGGAGCAGAGCTTTGGGTGCTGTCCATTGCGAAGTCTATTTGCGAGAGGTGGGATAGAGAGATTGTGGTGTTTTTTTTAGTACTGGACAGGCTGGTTGATCTGTTGGCGAGAGACAATTGGCAGGACTTTGGGAACACAGCCGGCGTGGGAGAGTGTTTCTGGCGGGAAGCTATGAGAGACGCGGGCAAGAAGAAAGCAACAATGATCTGGGAGCGGGCAATGCTCTGCCTTTTGTGAGCGAGGAAAGAAACAGCGGCCGGCGACAAGGACAAGGGTTGCGATGGGCGATGCGGGTGGGTTGGCGGCCAAGGGGGTCGGTTTATACGGGGCGTAGGAGGACGAGCGTAGGCGGCCGGGGATGGGAGGCGTGGATAAGACGATTTGCTATATTTTCTTGTTGGCCAAAAGAAAGAGAACCAAGCGAACCGTGGTGGGCAAAACGACAAAGCAAAAAAGATGCGCGTTTGACAAAGGAAATTCCAAGAGTTTTTGATAGGGTAGAAGAGGTGCTTTCGAAGCAAAGGCGGTGGAGCAAGCTCGAGATGACCCTGGTTGGTGGTTTGTTGCATTGCCCAGCAACGGGGGGGGCGTTAGTTACAGCGGCGCTACAGGCCGGCCCACTGGAGCCTCCCCCCCCCCAAAACAAGGGGGAGCGCTTGGTTGGCCGGCGGCCCTCCCTCTGATGAAAACAGCTTTACGCGGGCGGACGCGCCGCCACGCGACCGCTCGCGGAAGAATCGAAACCACGACAAGGGCAACACAACGATAATCTGTACACCGCACGCACGACATCCAACACGACACGACACGACACGTCACGTCCCCACTGGAACCCCCTCGAACTTCGCACGACCCGAAATCGTTCTCGTTCAACGCCTTTGTTTCTGTTGCCGTTTTTTTTTTCGTGCCTGTTGCTTCAACGCCGCCGTTGCGGCATCACCGGCCGGCGCCATGGTGAGTTGCACACCAATCCCGCATCCCGTCCCCCACCACAACCCGCCGTTTGGCATCCTCTCTTCCAGTAGCACAACACCCGTCCCGTTCAAGACCAAATCGCCTATAATTTTTTTTAACTCTTTAAAAAACAAACTACCTATGATACAATACCTCAATGTAGCATGCTAACCGCGTTCTACCCCCCCCAGTCACAACTCGACCCTCTGCCCAACGACCTACCGTTTCGCATAATTTCGAAGACGGTAGGCCGCGGTGCCTATGCCTCGTACGCTCCCTCTCTCTCACACATACCTGTAAACCATCCAATCCCAATCCTACAACTGACGCCCCCGACCCCCTTTGGCAACAATGCAGCATCAAAAAAGCCATCCCCCTCGACGCCCCAACGCCCGTCTTCGCCGTCAAGCTCATCCACAAGGGCTACGCCGTCAAGCGCGGCCGCGTGTCGGCCAAGCAGCTCGCCATGGAGGTGTCCCTGCACTCCCACGTCGGCCAGCACCCCCACGTCATCGAGTGGTTCGCCTCGGGCGAGGACCCCGTCTGGCGCTGGATCGCCATGGAGTACGCCGAGGGCGGCGACCTCTTTGACAAGATCGAGGCCGACGTCGGCGTCCGCCAGGACATTGCCCAGGCCTACTTCCTGCAGCTCGTCGGCGGCGTCAGCTTCATGCACTCCAAGGGCGTCGCCCACCGCGACCTCAAGCCCGAAAACGTCCTGCTCTCGGCCGACGGCAGCCTCAAGCTCGCCGACTTTGGCATGGCCACCATGTTCGAGTACAAGGGCCAGCGCAAGCTCAGCGCCACCCTGTGCGGCAGTCCCCCGTACATTGCCCCCGAGATTCTCGCCTGCGGCCGCCCGGACAAGAAGTCGGCCGGTGCTACGGGCAAGTACGCGCCCGACCTGGTCGACGTGTGGTCCTGCGGCGTCGTGCTCTTTGTGCTGCTCGTCGGCAACACGCCCTGGGACGAGCCCTCGTCCAACAGCTGGGAGTTTACAGAATACCTCCGGACCGGTGGTCACAGCACGGATGCCTTGTGGGAGCGCGTCCCGCCGGAAGCCCTGTCTCTCTTACGCGGCATCATGTGTGTCGATCCGGCCAAGCGCTTCAGCTTCGCCAAGATCCGCCAGCACCCCTGGTACACGCGGCACAACCCGCTGCTCAACGCCGACGGTCGCGTCGCCGACCCGATCTACCTCGCCACCCAGATGCTCGAGAATCTCCGCATCGACTTTACCAAGCAGCCGCTCCGGCCCTCCCAGGGCCCCCCGTCCTCCATGCCCGACGAGATGGACCTCGATTCGGGCATGAATGCCGGTCGCTTCGCGGCCACGCAGCCCGACGTCCCCATTGTCGACACCGACTGGGACTTTGAGCGCCCTGCGCTGCGGTCCATGGCCGTGCCCTCGGCCTCGCTGCCGCCCCGCGGCGCCGCCAACGACGGCCGTCGCCGGATGCTCGAGACGCTGGCCGACGAGCCCTCCATGTCGCAGTTCTCCCAGGCGCCCGGCCCCTCCATGACGCTGACGCAGCAGGCCCGCCAGTTTCGTGACATTTGCCCTGCCGAGTCGCTCACGCGCTTCTTCTCCCACGTGCCGCCGGCGCACCTCGTCCAGATGCTCAGCGACGCCCTGCACCAGCTCAACGTGCCCCTCGCGCCCGTCACGCCCAATCTGTACGGATACTCGGTCGCCACCATAAAGGTCCGTGCCGTGGACGGCCGCAACCAGAGCCTGCACGGCGAGATCCAGGTCCACAGGCAGGCCCTGCCGGACGGGACCGAGGTCCTCGACGTACGCTTTACAAAGGTCAAGGGCGACCCGCTAGAGTGGCGCCGCTTCTTCAAGAAGATTGTCGTCCTCTGCAAGGACGGTGTATATGTGCCGGATGCCTAGACGGCGGTTCGGCGGTCCATGGCCTGCAAAGAGACGGGGGAGAGCGTAGGAGGCGATTGGAATGGGTATATGGTATTAGACAAAACATCATCAGCATGCTAAATAGACTCAAGACGTTGTAGCATATCCAAAAACACAAGCATCCTTGGATTAATAAAATAACCCAAAAAAAACTTTTCATGCATCGTCATGACTGCATGTGCAAACAGGGAACAACGTTGCCGCTTGATGATCATTTTGATCAAATTCTTCAGGTATCATTATTTTTTCTTCATTCATGCAGCGCAGAAAGCAATGGGTTGTTGAGCTCTAGCTGCGCTGCCAGATCAAGCATCTCGCCCGGCGAGATGCCAATCATGGTGTCCGTTTGGAACAGGTCCCAGCCCGGGTCGTCGGCCACGACGCTTGGCGTCAGCGGTGTGTCGAGGTTGTCGTCGTGCGCCGGGCCGTGCTCCGACATGTGATGGTCGTCACCATGAGCGCCGCCGCCGCGGGAATTGCTTCCCGCTGGGGCTGGGGGTGTAAAGGCGTTCATGAAGCGCTCGAGCTGAGCCAGCTCCATTTTGCGGACGGGCGCTACTATGCTGCCCTTGGAGATCATCTTGTCGAGGACGCTCTGCATGTTCTCCTCCCAGAGGTCGTCGTCGGGCACGAGGAACGGACAGATGGTGCGCACCAGGTAGAGGACAAACGAGGAGGAGTAGGCGTCTTCCAGCTGAAAGGGGAGAAAGGCCTCGAGCAGGTCCTCGTCGCCAATGACGCGCAGGATGCGCAGCACCGTCTGGGCCGAGTTGACGCACGACTGCAGCAGCGAGGCGACGGGGGTGGAGAGCATGACGGGCCCGGTGACAATCGAGTTGGTGCGCTTGATGTGCATGTGCAGCGCGCACATGACGACGGGACGGGTGGTGAGAACCACGCAGTGGTGGTAGGAGAGCAGCAGGCGGACGGCCATGCGCGAGGCCTTGCTGATGGAGCCCTGAAAGTGCGACTCGAGGAGGGCGTGGACGTCGCGCGAGATCTGGGCGAGGTCGCGCAGCACCGACTGTGTGTTGGTGACGAGGGAGCCGTCGAAGCGCTGGCCGACGCCGTAGATGGCGTTGAGGATCTGCGAGACGAGACGGGCGAGCCGGACGTGCAGTGACATGTTGCGGGCGTCGAAGCAGTCATTGAGGTCTGACGGGGCGCGGGCGGTAATGTCCTCGTCGCGGATCGACGAGGGCGCGCCCATGAGCGAGCCAAATTCGCGCTCTAGCTTGTACACGACCCAGAAAATGAGGTTGCAGCGCTGCGAGTGCTGCGCCCCGACAACCTCGATGGGCATGTGGCGGTGCCAGCCCTCGATGATGCAGATGCGCAGGGCGTGGCAGATGTGCTGCAGCGCACCTACGCGCATGTCGATGGACTGCAGGTACACGGCACCTAGCACGAGCGCCTGCACGGCGGTGATGGAGTCGGTCGCGAGCCCGGACATGTCGGGCATGAGGCCCATGGCGCGGGCCGCGTACTGGTGGCCCGTGGGGCCCTCGGCGCTGCTCTGGTTGGTGATGAAGACCTTGCCGTAGGCGAGGATGAGGAGGTACTGCGCATACCAGTGCCGTGACGAAGCCGCCTTGGCCGACTGGTCATCGTACAGCTCGTATAGGTTGCGCAGCCAGTCCTGCTCATCGATGAGGTAGAAAATGGACCCCAGGTAAAACTTGGCCACGTTGAAGAGGAGCAGTGCGTAGTCGAGCGGCGGCAGGTTGGACACGTCGGGCGTCTCTTCCCATGGCACCGGGTTCCAGCTGAGCTTGTGGCCGCTATCAAAGTGGCCCGGGTCGGCGACGTAGCCCTGGTCGGGGAGGTGCTGGCCAAGAAGCGTCAGTACGCGACGGCAAAAGGACCATGACGACGACGGTCCCATGTACCCTGACATGGGGCGGCAGGCAAGAGTCAGTTTGTGTAACGCAGAGGCGGAGAAACGCGGGGACGTGCTTACAGAATCTGCCCTTCATTTGTGTGAAAGTGTAGTCATTGTCTGCGAGGGGATTCTGCATGAACGAGGGCTCGATGCTGTTGTTGTCATCTACGCTGCTGCTGCCATGGCTGCTATGATATGATAGACGCCCAGTGTCGGGAGCCAGCGACGGTGTTGGCCCTGATGTTGTATGTGCTGTTAGAAGTCGAGGCAAGGACGGAGCGGACGGGATGGGACACCGACCATTGCTGTCTTGACCGTGGTTGTGGTGGTGGTCATTGTTCTGGGCTACATCGCGAGGATGCAAGCCGAACGCTGCCCGCGATGACGCAGTGCCCGGACTTGGTTGCGTGAGGAGGGCATCGACATCGAGCCTGCGCGGCGCGGCGACGGGATCTAGTATGCGATCCTCCTGCGACTTGCGGCCTTCCAGCTCGCGGAGATATCTGGACGGTACCAGCTTTGTCAGTACTTGGGGGTCCAGCGTTGCCGAGTTATGCACGGCGGCGGCGGTGTCTATGGCGAGGCCATGCATAGCTGCTGTGTGTTGTCTTGTGTGTTGGCTAGAGTTTCCTTACCTTTCGGAGATTGATATCCGTTTAGACTCGGCCATGAAGTAGCACCTCTCATTTTGTCTCGCGCAGCGGTTGCAGGGCTGTTCCCCGCTACACTTGACCTTCATAGCCCTGCATCGTTCACATCTAGTAAGAAAATCCTGGTCAGCCGAGCTCATGTTTCGGAACGCCGCGACGGATGGGGGTGCGGCAAGCTGCCGTCGGAATCGTCACCCACGCTTTCGAGACCTTTGGCCCCGTCCTCTTGGTCACCCCGGAAGGTGACGGGCGACCGTCCATGTTGTCGGTCGCGATGTGATGCAGAAGCCTGGGAAAGTCGATACTTTCGGACAGCGTCTTCCGGGGCAATCGCACACCATTTGCAGTGAAAAACGAGTGTGTTATTACGTAGGAGCGTCGGTTGAGCCCGTACCAGGTCTTGGGGGCAGAAATCCCCACTTGGCCTGTTCGCGGACAGGCTTTTGGTTGGTTGCCTCTGTTTGCTTCTCATGCATTTGTATGGGTACATACGATCGTTATTGGATCCAAGACAAGGCAATCAAGTTGTGATGGTGGTGGAATCTTCATCACGATCTGTCCACTGGCAACGTGGTGCGTGGTTGATGTGGTTGATACGTGGTTGTCGCAAACTGGCTCCGACTGCCTGCAACCTGCCGATAAGATAAGGGAGGTACCTATGTACATAAGCACAGCCAGACCAGACTCGGCCACTGAGCACTGAGACGAGCGCTTCCCCGAACCACCCATGCGCCCTGCCAATGTTTATTATGGGACTCCGGCGTCGGAACGGTCCTCGGGTGACCTGTCCGATGTCTTGAAAACATGACGGTCCTATGAGTAATGTGATCCATTACAAAAGGACAACGTGGGCACAAATCACGATCGCGCGAGACGATGCAGGAATTTTAGTTATTTTTTTCTAGTCTTGCAGCGAACAGAGGGGTCGCGATATCACAATGCCAGCCGTCTCAAAATCGGCACGTTTGTTGGCGTCCCTCACCAGGTTCGTCGTTTTCCCCCAATTGACGCTGCCACGCATCGCCCGTGGTCCACCGACTTACACGAGACCTTGTCGCCCCAATGCAGGCCCTTGCCCTCAATAAGACACCGAGCTGTCTTGTCGGCCACGACGGCCTCTAGAAGCAGTAGCTCCGCCACCGCTTCAGCCGAGCAGGTAAAGCAGGCCGAGGCCAGCTACAAGCTCGTGGACCGCGCCGCCGACTTTGCAGCCAAGCAGGCCCGCCGGCCAGACTTTGACCACGCCGGCACGCCCATTGAGGTGACCAAGCAGCCCAGCCCCGACTGGCAGTACGGCGACGGCGCGCTGGGCTACAACCCGTCGTGGACACACCGCCAAGTTGACCCCTACGCCACGGACCGGCCCATGATTCACAACTACAAGCTGCTCGTGTCGGGCATCGCCCCGCGCCCCGTCGGCTTCATCAGCACCGTGTCGGCCGACGGCCGCACCAAGAACCTCGCGCCGTTCAGCTACTTCCAGGTCGTCGACCACGACCCGCCCACGTTTGTCGTCGGCTTCTCGTCGCGGCCCGGCCGCGCAAAGGACACGTTCCGCAACCTGCAGGACACGGGCGAGTGCGTCATCAACACCGTGTCCGAGAACATGATGGAGGCGGTCAACGCCACGTCGCTCGACCCCCCGCACGGCGTCTCGGAGTGGGCCATTTCCGGCCTGCACGAGGCCCCCGCGGCCACTGTCCGGCCCAGCCGCGTCCACGAGTCCGTCTTCTCGGTCGAGGGCAAGGTCGTCGACGCCAAGGAGCTCGGGCACGGAAAGCCGGGCATGAGCGCGGCTGGCGTTGTCCTCATCCAGGCCACGCGCTTCTGGGTCCGCGAGGACGCCACCAACGACGAGGCCAGTCACATCGAGCTGGACAAGCTGCGCCCGGTAGCACAACTGGGTGGCATGTCGTACGGCCGCATCACCTCGACGTTTGAGCTGCCCCGGAAATGGTGGGCGGATGAAAAGGCAAACTCCCCGCTGCTGTCTAGCCTCGAGTCGGACAAGCCTGACGCCTAACTAAAGCCGGGAAGGGACATGAAGACCATTTCCCCCCATCTGTGACATTTTGTACAACATGACTTACAAGACTTGCATATATCATATACTTGAAACATAGACATCATTATGACTACATTTCATTTCATCCCGTACGTAATGCTTGCCACTTTGGAAATGCGTTGTACTGCTACTTGAGAACATGCAAATGTCAAGATAGAAACTCATGGATATACAACTTGTTGATTTGTATTCTGGTATGATTTTATTTACAATTAATATTATATCGTAATGCCGACGCAATGCTCGCTATAAATCAGGATGGTATATGCAATTCTCCCTTTGTCAAGAGGGTCGTAACAAAGTAGTCAAGGGCTGAATGCCGCTTAGTTGAAAGACAGCCTGTGCCACAGTTCCTTGCGGAGCGCGGCGGCCATGTGCTTGGTGCGCTCGACAGCGCCGCGGTTCTCAATGGCGCGGCGATGGAGGTAGCCCATGCACTCGCCGACGGAGCCCCAGGTGAGGCACTTGTATGGCTTGGGGGCCATGATGTTGGCGGCGGTCTGGTCGGCGAGCGTGTTTTCATAGTTCATGATGAGCTCGCAGCCGAGCTCGTCGGCCATGCCAGCGACCTGCGCGCACTCGAGCTTGCAAGTGTTCTGGCCGTTGCGGATGCGGACGCGGTGCGTCTCCGTGGCCAGCGCCGCGCTATCGGCGTTGTGCGTGGCGAGCATGAGACTGGCCTTGGGGAAGGACAAGGCCTGGTCGGCAGCCAGCGACGCGGGCAGGCGCTGGCTGATGAGCTTGTCGGCAATGTCGTTGTACGAGGCGTCCGTGTCCGCCTTGGTGTCGTGGATCAGGGAGCGCTCCTCGTGCTCAATATAAGCGCCGCGGACGAGCTTAATGCCGAGCTTCCAGCCCTCGGCGGCGGCGGCGGAAATGTGGCGGTCCGCGACGTCGCGCGCGCCCTTGAGGTACGCCTGGATGGTGTTGTAGACGAGGGCCTGGCCGTCGCCGTTCCAGCGGCGCATCAGCTCAATCGCCCAGTCGTCGATGCCGTGCTGCACCGACTGCTGCTCGGCGTCGAACCAGAGGCGGGACCCCTGCTTCCTGGCCGCGGCGCACAGCTCGGTGAGCGCGTCGTCAATGACCCGGGGCATGGGCGCGCGGGCCTGCAGGGCGTCCATGGCGATGGGGCCGGCACCGGTGATTTTCATGGCGAGCACGTCGCCGGGCTGGAGCATGCGAAGGGAGGCGAGAGAGTTGTCCCGCCATGAGGCGACCATGTCGTGGTGCGCCTGGGTGTACTGGCCCGGGTTCTTGGCGGCTTCGGCGCGCTCCTCCTCGGACAGGACAATCTCCTTGGCAAAGGTGAGGATGACGCCTTGGTAGCCGAGCGACTTGAAGTCGCGGATCGACTGGGCCACTTCAACTTTGTTGGTGCCGGCGCAGAACTGGTCGTAGACGGCGTGGCGGACCAGTGTGTTGAGGAGAGGGTTGGCTTCAGGGTTGAAGAGGTTGATCTTGGGGTGTGTGATGAGACCGAGGGCGGCAATGGAGGGCTTGAGGATGGTGGGCGAGCACATCATGGTGGTGAGGGCGGCAGAACGGACGAGTGTAAGCCATGGCAGGCGGGAGAGAGCTGTGCGTGTGGGAGCTGGGATAGCAGGACTGGAGGGGACAGAGGGTCCAGCGGTGGTGGTGCCGGTGAGATATCGCACGCTATCGTGCCATCTGACACCCGAGTATCTGTAGAGAGGTCTGGTGGCCTGCTTGCGTAGAGCGGTGGTGACGGGGGCGAGCGCCGACATGGTTGGTGCTGTGGTTGGTATAAGACGATATTGATATGATGCCAATCTAATGCCTGCACTAAATGTTGTCCACGTACAAGTGGCCGGATTCAACCACAAACAATGGCAGACTGACGAGGAATCAAAACAAAGCGAAGCGATGGGAGGGAGGGGACGGCTCTTTCAAATAGCCATACGGAAACTCTCTTTCCCGCCTGGTATCGGGGGCGTGGTCGCAGGTTCGTGAGATGGCGTCGTCGGAAGCACTGCCCGGGCCCGATATCGCCTGGGCGAGCTACGGCACACGCCCCCCGCGTGGTTGGCCTACCCCGCGACCACCATGTTCCTAATCTGGTATTCAAGCGTCCGTATCTTGCAGACTTGCAGTAGTCCAAGCAAAAAACAGTGGGGTGATGGCGTAACAGGAATCCAGACAAAGCAGGTCGGGCCAGTGAGGTTTATCAGCCGTGGCGATGACCGGCCGCCGGGCCAATGATGTTCCCCGCACCATCTGTTCTGTGCACAGGCCCACGCGATCCATCCTCTATCATCACTATCAGCGTTCGTGCCTCTTCCTATCGGTTTTCTATCTCGACTACCTACAGATTAGACTCTGGGGTGAACCTTCCATCTCCAGATAGTGTCCGATAAAGGGCATCCGATTACCCGCCCTGTGATAACAGGAGGCTGTCGCGTCCGCTGTCCTCGCGACCTTATCGCTGTTTCTCGAGACACTCCCCTATGTACCTAGGTATGTTCCGAGGATCGCCCGGTGGCGATGCCCATTCACCGGATGGCAAACCTGATTTTCCCACTGGCTACGACCTATGTAGGTTGCTAGGTTGGCACCGGCTACCCGATTGCCCAAGACCCGGCGCGCGGCCAGCTTCGGAAAGGGGGCAAGTTGGGCGACGAGGGTGACGAGTCTGCAGGACTAGCGATGCCCCAGCCTTTTGAACCATGACACAGAAATTCCCAAGGAAACCAGTAACCTTACCCACCATAATATCACACACACGCGGCGCCACTTCACGCCACAGAACGCGACGGCTGAGGCTTCCGACACCACCACGGGCAAGTCACTAGACCATCGTGCATCCGTCGTCGCGCCGTTGCTTTCGAGTTGGCTCGAGGACGACATCAATACGTCAGTGGCCAGCACTGTTGCACCGTAGCATCATTGATTAGTTCGCCTTTTCATCTAACTACGTGGCAGCAGTACACGCGCCCGTTCTTATATTCGACCGAATTCCTTGGCTTTACCCCGGAGTACGGAACAGCGTACGCCACAATGTGAAATTCACGAGAGGTACGTAAACACCGAGATTACGATTTTTCCACAGAAACATGCTTCCTCACATAAGCGCCCGCGCCATGCTTGATGGCCAGGATCAAGATAAACAATACAGGGTAGAGTGGCAATGGGCCAATTCGGAATGGGAACCGGGTAATCGGAATCGACGGCTGGCCGTTTGCGACTATGTGCTGGTAAACGGAACGGTTGATCAGTGCAGCCTCGTGTGCATGACAGAAGCATACAAAGCATTCCCTCGCGGTATGCAACCTATTCCAACCAAGAGAGCTGGAAAGTCACGGCATTGTGAACGATCCGTAACCACCTGAATAAACTGGTATCCGCTGATGAAAGCTAACGTTACCCTGTCCTTCATAACGGTGTCGGGCTTCACCACGGCGGCGACCTCGTCGTCTGACCAAATTCTTTACCGAGACACATCTCGGCATCGTCCAACATATTCACTGATCCACAATGACACTGTTCACATTGTTGCCGAGACACAGCTCGCCTCGGGGGCATCTAGATGACTACGTTCTCAATCACCATGATCACCATGATCTGAATATCAAGTTTTGGACGCATGAATAGAGGGACGCAGCGCCGTGGCCACCAACATGAGAGCCCCGATCTTTTCAGCAAGCTCACACGCATCCACGAAGCGTTGACGCAATTACTGCTGGATTTGCTGTCTTGCCGGCCAATCTCTGGGCAAAGGCGCCTGCAGCTTCCAGCCCGTTGCCGTTGTGTAACCCCGAAACCCTAGCTGTGCGTTCGTCACAGTCTTAGTTGAGGCGCTGCTGCGCCCGTCTTATGTAGGTACATATCCCTTATTACTAATTTACCGAAATTCGGTGGTTTTTCCGTCGGTGGCTTTGAAGGCGCGCCCGCGCAAGAACCCACCTCCCCTCCGTATATCACGACCCATGAGCTTGGAGTCGCTGCCCCAGACTTTAACGTATTTGTCACTCTAGCACGGTGGTGTGGAAATCCCCTAAATAGTGGCGCGGCTGTTCATATTTGCGTGTGTCAGCTTCCGCTTAGGGGGAGGACGAAGATCTGCAGCGTCAAGAAAGAGCTATCAAAATAGTGCCGCCGCACCACGCCTTGCATTTCCAAGAACAACAGCAGAACGGGGCAGTTTTACAATTCGGCAATAGCTTCGTTTCTCAGCTTTTTGAGACATGGTCAGGGAGGAGAATACCGTTGGGCGGGTATATGTGCCACCCGTTGTGCCTCGGCCTGTCGGCACTGGCAAATCGTGTACAACATCCTAATAATACTGCATACTGTCTAACGACCGTTTTTTTCTTCATCGCAGTTGCTTGCCCTGTGCTTTTTAACAAATGTCTTCACCTCACGGGAACGGCGCAAGTCACCGTTCCGCGTACCTGAAAAAGTACCGAGTACTCCGTATCTATTTAGAGTCTCGCTCAGCCAGCATCTTATTTTCGAAAATAGTCTTCCCATCATCAGGGGTTCGATTGGGTGACAAGGCGAGGCTGCTAAAATTGTCTGCCCGTTGGCACCGAGACATGACAGCAAAAAACTTGTTCCTGTCATATTTTTCCCCAGGAGAACTATGTAGCGGGCTCTCATTGGCCCAAGCTTACTTCCTGACCGCTTTGCGCCATGGTACGTGTCTGAGCCTTCTGCCTTCTGCGGCCAACCATTCATGAGTACGAATATGTACCCTAACCCCATCAATTGAATATAGCCGCTAATACCGGGACGTGGAATGGCCCCGTTTGAGCTGAACAATCAGGCCTGCCTCACTGGGCTTTGCGGATGGATCGCCAACAACCTAACGGGAGAGGGAAGCACGCTCCGCAAGATTGGTAAGAAAGTCCTTCGGCTGTTGTTAGTAGTTTTTCCCAAACCCCGGTGCATATCCTTTTTGCACAGGGCGGACTTGCGCAGCATCTGAAACATGGCGAAGGCTCTGCAGGAGGCATCATGACTTCTGTTAAACGAGCCTTTTTAATTGAGTTGTACTCACTTCTTTCTTTCATATACTCCGCAGATCGTCCCCGTCACGGGAAGAGCGGCCTTTTCCACTTGTCACGTTGTTCTGTCCCTCATTCCTTTCTTAGCGGCCAGCCCAGTTACACCAAGTCTAGAAGCATCCTTGGAAGGATGGGCCGGCCGCTCGGAGGTGAACAGAACAGCCAACTAACCCAACACGGCGGTTTGAGTCGAGCAGGGGGGCTCGTTGGCTTGTTTGCTGGCAATATGCAGTTTTGCCCATGCTCGTCCCATCTCCGCAGGTAGCGTGGGATTCGGTTGCAGGGCTACCTTAAGGTACATACTCGTCGGCAGGGGCAGAGACAATGGGAAACTAACTGACTGACCCCCTAACCCCCGAACTGAGGTCTCATGTGGCTCGAACGGCTGCCGTCATATTAGAAGCCCGCGCCCACTAGTTACCGCCTGTAACACCACATAGGCTTCCAGGCTTTTGCCCGTCGTAAGCGATCTGCCACTTTCCCTCTTCTGTTTGGTTCCCCCATTCATTCAAAGCCCGTATGTTTGCGTCGATTCGGTGCTGGAGAGTTCGGCAAGCTTGATTCGTCTCCGGTCAAGGCGAGTTGTGAAAATAAATAAAAACGAACATGAACATAGAACAACAAGACGGACCTCGAAACAAGCTTGAACTTATATGGGACGAAAGCGTTGCGGCGCCACCTCTTCAACAAGTCGACGCTCTTTATCAAGACCGCTTACGAATAAAAAACAAGTCGGAGGCAATATTGGTCGGCAACACTAGACCGCGAGCCAACAACAGAATAAAAAAATGGCACACCAGGGACACTGGAATCGCACGAGGCCGGCGCCGACGACGGTGATGCCCGACTTGCCCGACGCGGAGCACTGGCGCACCACGCTGTCGGCCGTCTCGCTGACGTTTGGTATTCTCGCTTCAGCCGTCTTTGTGCTCCGCGTGTGCGTCGCGCGGTGCTCGTCGTGCAAGATTCGGGCCGAGGATGTTATCATGGGCGTCGGCGTCGTGCTGATGTGGGGGACCATTGCCTCTGTGCTGCTGAGTGAGTTGTCCCGGCCGTCCACCTTGCCCTTTCGCGGCCCAACTGTTTCTTTCTTGTTGCTCACGAACCATCTTTAGAGGCGTATAATGGTATGGGCATCCCTGCGCGGCAAATACCTCGCGCGCAAAGACATTTACTGAATTTGGTACGGTGTTTCCCAGTATCCTGTTTGTTCCCCCCCATCTCTTCCCCCGCTAACATCATCTTCCCTGTAGGGCTCGTTCCTGATACCCAAATTCTGGGCGGGCTCGACCGCGTGCTGCAAGGTCGCCATCATCCTCTTTCTGCAGCGCGTCGTCGGGTTCAAGCGCTCGGTTCACACGGCCCTCATCGTCGTCGCCGTCATCTCGGTGCTGTGGGCGCTGGGCGTCATCTTCTTCACCACGTTTGCGTGCACGCCCGTCTCCTTCTACTGGAACAAGTCGGGCCGCGACGGCCACTGCATGTCGCGGCACCGCTACAAGAATGGCAATATTGTGTTTGGCGTGCTCGGCATGGTGACGGACTTCGTGGTCCTCGTCATCCCCATGCCGACGCTGTGGAAGTCGCAGATGCGTAGGAAGCAAAAGATTGCTATGACGGGCGTGTTGGGCATTGGTCTAGTGTAAGTCTATCACGTCCTTGCATCCGATGCAGCGACCTAATAAGACAACAGCGTCTGTATATTCAGCTTGTTGAGGACTATTCAGTTCTTCTATCTCGATTTGGATAAGATCTCAAGTAAGTCCATTGATCTTGTTATCCATGACACCTTGACGGCCGCTGACAACGTCCCAACAGCTTCGAGCGGACTGGAGAGTATATGGACCGTGCTCGAGAACGAGTTTGCCGTCATCTGTGGTTGCGCGCCACAGCTTGCACCGTTGTTTCAGAGCTTGCGCCCTAGGAAGGCAAAGACGTCGGGCTACGCCGGGATGTATGATACGTCAGTACTCGGCAAGCACACCAAGATGAGCGTCATCCGCACCACAGTCAGCGGGACGACCGGCGGCGACGTAATGCCGGGTCTGCGGACGGTACCGAGAGACGGCAGAAGCTCGTCTGAGATTGAGCTTAAGGGCATTGAAGTCCGCACGGCGATTAATCAAGAGATTTCGGCGAGTGGAGACGCGCATCATGATCCAGGGCGTTTGTCCAGGAGGGAGGATAGTGGAAGTTATACCCGCATCTAGGCATATTGCATTTTTCTGGTGTTTTGTAGCGAGCATAGCGAGCATAGCGAGCCGCTTTCACAGCTGGCTTCTCTTGTATATATCAGTGCATTTTTAGATGGGAATGACGAGATGCACAATCGCGTTGGCGATGACAGAAGTACTGATGCGCGATGCTTTGGGAATTGTGTCATGAATCATTAGTCTGTGCGAGGCGGCGTCGTCTCCTTATTCTGATCAACCCGTTCGAATGCTGCATTTGAAGTAGTCAGTAGCCGTTTGCTACATACTCGCGAGAGAAGGCTTACGCTGTCGACACATGGGACACTGTTTTCGCGAGGTCTCCTGTTTAATCCACTCCATGATACAGTGCTGAGGTGTGGTGTCAGTACAGAGGAACGAGGTCAAGGAGCTGCACGAGGAATGCCTACCATGTGGAAGTTGTGTCCGCACTTGCCGGATACTGTGTGTTGATTAGCATCGATGGTACGATTCAACGTTGGCAGATGGGCCATACATAGTGCGCAGTCATCACCCGGGTATCTGCACAACGGACATGTTCCGTCAAAATGGACCTGGCAGATACCGCAAACATCGTCCTCGGGAATATCCCAACGCCAAGTGGCGACGGCATTCCACTCCTTGATGGTCACCTTCATGGCGGTGTTTGCTGTTGCTGTGTTGGGGTTATGACGAGGACATGACACTATTTGCGTATGGGTGGGTATATGTTCACTGTAATGTGGTGGCGAAGTTGTAGGAAAAGCTATGTTGGAGCAAAAAGTTGAACCCGTTTGTTGGTGATGTTGCTGGGTGGTGTTGCTGACAATCTGAGGGAAGACGCGACCTGGCGTGTCTTGGTGGTGATTTGTCGTCACCAACAGATGGCCCCAGATAATATTTAGCGGACAGAACAGCGCTCGGCGGTGGAGTCTTAGCGTTCATGACCCCTAAAACCAGGTTTAGTGCCGTCTTTTAGCGCAGTTTTGGCACTTCAGCGCCTCCAAACAGACTGACCGACAACGGCGACCGACTGTCAGAAGCTTGCGGAGCTTGCTTGCAGCCACTGGCCCAAGCTCCCCGCATCCGCGGAATCACCGTGACGCCAACCTCCTCCCCGCTGTCTGGACCCTACCATTTTATTTCAGCATCTGTCATTGCCATTTCAAACCACCATTTGCTCCTCGCCTTGACTGCAAGCTGTGACCATCATCCGTGACATTCACCGACACTGCTGTAATTGACCTACCACCCCCGCTGGCGCTTCGCCCGAACAGCAGCCAGCCAGCCAGCTCCGCCATCATCCCGACCAAGCTCCCTACCTTACCCATCACCCAGCTTCCGCTGTGTCCGGTCGCGAACGATTGTAAGGCCGCTGCCTCGCGTCCTGGCAATGGCCTTTGTAGCCGTCGGACGGGCTGCCCGGACCGGGCTCCCCCGGGCCTTGAGCCCCGGCCTGGCCGCCGCCTGCCGCCGTCGCAACTTCTCCTCGTACCTCGTCACGCCCAAGGAGCTCAGCGAGGCGCTCCAGAAGAACCCGCCCTCCCCCATCAGCACAGACGCGCGCGTTATCCCCCTCTGCGCCTCGTGGTTCCTGCCCAACGACGAGCGCACGGGCATCCAGGCATTCCGCGAGCAGCGCATACCCAAGGCACGCTTCTTCGACATTGACAAGGTCATTGACAAGCGCAGCCCCTACCCACACATGCTGCCGGACGCCAAGGGCTTCGCCGGAGCCATGAGCGAGCTCGGCATCCGCAAGGAGGACGTGCTCGTCGTCTACGACACCAAGGAGCTCGGCATCTTTTCCGCACCCCGCGTCGGCTGGACCCTCAAAATCTTTGGCCACCAAAACGTGCACATCCTCAACAACTTTAAGCTCTGGGTGGACGAGGGCTATCCCACCGAGTCGGGCGAGCTGTACAGCGTCGAATGCTGCCCGTACCCGATCCCCGAAATCGATGATGCCAAGGTTGCCGACTTTGAGCACACAAAGGAGATTGCGCTGGACCACAACAAGGAGGGCGCCGAGGGTGTGCAGATCCTGGACGCGCGACCGCATGGACGCTTCACCGGCCAGGCACCCGAGCCGCGCGAAGGGCTATCCTCAGGCCACATGCCCGGATCTATCAGTTTGCCCTTTAGCGAGCTGCTTGATCCGGCCACCAAGGCGTTCCCGTCGCCGGAGAAGCTCAAGAGCATCCTGGCAAGCAAGGGCATCGACCCTAGCAAGCCCATCATCTCCAGCTGCGGAACCGGTGTGACGGCCTGTGTAATTGAAACTGCTCTCGAGGTTGCCAACTATGGCTCTCCAGAATCACGAAAGGTGTATGACGGCAGTTGGACGTAAGTGTTATAAACATGGCTGGATGAGAATGCTAGCTAACACTCTCTAGTGAATGGGCGCAGCGGGTGCAACCCAGTGATAACCTCATTCTCAAGTCTGAGTAGAGTTGATCAGTTTAGGCTGTATAATACGGAAAACAGCCGGGATACCCTTCGAACACGTCTCACACGCAAGTCTATGTATGATTATCTATCGATCTAGTACACTCTCCACCAATCTGATCTGAACCTCAACGGACCATCTTACATGTATGTTTTGAACTTGAAGCACAGAATGCAGTAGTAAACCTGACCACAACTATGGAGTTCAAAACACCTAAACGTAAACTCGCAAAAAGTTTAGTTCAGTTACAGTTCAACTACACTCTTTTGTCATAGTGCGACCTTGGATGGAGCGAGCCGTTTGGACACTGTGTTGGCTGGTTGGCTGAGTCTGAACTGGCCACCATTTTGGGCTTAGCGTAGATCATTGTCGTTTTATTTCTCGCCTCAATTTCGAGGCAGAACAAACGTGCGGGTACCCACACACACCCTTCTATGTTAGTTAGGGCTCGCTAACCTTGACCGCACGACCCAGCCAAAATTTGGGAAAACCACCACGGAGTGTGTGCGTGCACCAGTGAGCGCCCCCGCCAAGCGAAGCCGAAAAGTTCCCATCGCGAGCTCTCCATTGTGACCTGCGCAACAACACCAACACACACAACTCTCCCCCCCAACGACAACAATCATACAACATGGCTGACCGTGGCGGAGCAGCTCCCGACCGCGGTGGACGCGGTGGTGGTTTCGGAGGACGTGGCGGCGACCGTCGCCCTCGCGGCCGTGGTCGTGGTCGCCGCGGCGGCAAGGGCGAGGAGAAGGAGTGGCAGCCCGTCACCAAGCTCGGCCGTCTCGTAAAGGCCGGCAAGATCAACAGCATGGAGGAGATTTACCTGCACTCCCTGCCCATCAAGGAGTACCAGATTGTCGACCACTTCCTCAAGGACTCCCTCAAGGACGAGGTCATGAAGGTGCGCAACAACTCTCTGCCCCATGTGCGAAATTAGGACAATCGACTCGCTGCGGACGACAAAAACGGCCTTTTATGGCAGAGTGGCATGCAGCGAGGCGACGAGTTGCTATTCGCGGCACACGGGTTCAACACGAGAAATTGGGGAGTCTAAGTGCTAACGTGACATTGCAAACGTACAGATCAAGCCCGTCCAGAAGCAGACCCGTGCCGGTCAGCGTACCCGTTTCAAGGCCGTCGTCATCATCGGTGACTCGCAGGGCCACGTCGGTCTCGGCATCAAGACCTCCAAGGAAGTTGCCACGGCCATTCGCTCCGCCATCATCATCGCCAAGCTCTCCGTCATCCCCGTCCGCCGCGGCTACTGGGGCAACAACCTGGGTCAGCCTCACTCGCTGCCCTGCAAGGAGTCTGGCAAGTGCGGTTCCGTCACCGTCCGCCTGATCCCCGCCCCCCGCGGTACCGGCCTCGTCGCCTCCCCCGCCGTCAAGCGCTTCCTGCAGCTCGCCGGTGTCGAGGACGCCTACACCTCGTCGGCCGGCTCCACCAAGACGCTCGAGAACACCCTCAAGGCCTGCTTCGTCGCCGTCTCCAACACCTACGGCTTCCTCAGCCCCAACCTGTGGAAGGAGACCAAGCTGCTGCGCAGCCCGCTGGAGGAGTTTTCCGACTCGCTCAAGGAGACCAAGCGCGTCTAAGCGTTACGGAGAATGGGAGACTCCATCACGGGGTGACGTCGTGATGTGAGGGGATATATCATGAAGGAAGGAGACTGTGGTGCACGGGAGTCCAAACGATTCATGTCTTGTGTTTCATATGCACGATGGTTGGCCAATTTCATAGGGCAAACGATTTAACGTCAGGAAGTTGGGCGCCTGGGACATTTCATGGCTACCTTCTGAATTACAAAAGTTCTAAAATTTCGGCCGTTTTGCATGTGATGTTTTTTGGTGACACGGTATCCGTGGGACATGGCCAGTTTGACTAATGTGATAATTTCCAGATCGGTATCAAATTGAACTCTCGAGCAACAACAAGGCCTCCGCAACCAGAAGTGCAGGCTTGCGTTTGTATACATACCTCCAGTACCGCCTGCGGTTACACCAAACTATCCCGGCGCGGTCGCTCTCCGAAACTGGGTTGTCAAGCGATAGCAGGGCAAAGAGGGCATCTCATCAAGTCACTTCAAGTCCCGCGGGCTGCAAGCGAGGCTTATAGGTAGGTTTCAACGGACCATACAACTTTGTTCAACTCTGAGAAACACTCATGATGGAGAGGCTCTCTTGGTTCGGCTTCGGCCCCTCTAGCGTGTTGACGGCTAGAACGGTTTATTTGGTCTCTATCCGAACTATGGGCAGCTCAACGTTCAAGGGCATTATCCGTCTATCGAAAGAGTGAGCACATCATCCATTCGACAATCTTGAATCCAGAACAAAGGAGACATTGGGCACTTTGCTGTGTTGCAAGCCACGAGTGCTTGGCCACGAGTGGTGAAACTAATTATGAAGACAGACAATGTATTCCCAAGCTTCTTGACAAAAACGTCACCCCGCGCCCCGGTGGTCACTCTTGAATAACCCGTCCTGGCATCTGTAGCCCCCCCCATCCTTGGGCTTTTCAAAACCTGACACGAGTTTTTCGGCATAAACTCACACTCGGCAACCTCTACACCCATGCATGCCGAGATGCAAATCCACGACACTTGTGATTGTACCACCGCTACACAAGTACACCAAAACCGCACCGGGGACGCAAATGCAGGCACTTGAACTCATTGTTGCCGCGGCTCCGTTTGCCCTCCTGCAATAGGCAATGGGACGGGACTGGTCAGCAAAGTCGCTGAGTGGCGCGTTCGTATGGGCTAGCGGAGCTTCTCCTTTGCCACCTTATCCCGTGCGCGCCACAGCGACCCCCCCGGGCGGCCGAAGGCGGGGGTGGGCTCCCTGGGGAAGGCCGACGTTCTCACCACGAACAAGGGCGAGATGTGACCACGAACTGAACAGCATTTTCATACATTCAGGTGCCAAAAGTATTCCACCAAAAAAATACAGCCGAAAACAAACGAAAGCAAACGCAGCAATTGAGCTATTTTATCTGAAAACCCTTTACCCCCTCTGGAGGTAGAAAGCAGAGGCAGCTCAACGGAGCCGGGGCGACTTCTTGCTTCTTGGTCCGAATCGCCTGTGCGAGAATCGAGTATATATCCCCAGTATCCCTCCGTCCCAGCTGTCCAGCCCTCTTCTACTACTCTCGTCAATCTTGACCAAGAGCACAATCTCCAAGCCTTTTTTTCCCACGCCTTTTCCCTCCTCCTGCAGCTCTTGATACCATGTCCAGCACGGCGATCCACACCGGGATAAGCGCCGGTGTCTCGGCGCGGTCCTCCGCCGCCGATGATCAACCCACCACCATCCTCACCCCGGCCTCCCGCCGCTTCGTGCCCACCGACCTCCAGGGCAAGCCGATCCCGCACGCGCAGCGCTGGGCGTACTCGACGGCGGCCGTCGCGCGGGGCCGCGTGGGCTCGCAGGCCGTCAACGTGGTGGCCATTGCGCTCTTCGTGCTCTGGCAGCGGTCCGCCACGGCGCACGCGCTGTACGCGTACCTGGACAGCACCTACGGCGCCGCGGCCGTCAACGTCTGGGGCACGTTCGCCATCACGTCCGTCTTCTTCTGGGTGTGGGGCGGGGTGTTTGCCCTCGCGGACCTGACGGGCCGGCCGCGGTGGCTGTTCCGGTACAAGACGCAGCCGTTTGTGCGGGTTCCGGCGCGCGAGTACGCGTGGATCTGCCTCGTGTCGCTGCGGAACCAGGTGTGCGGGGCGCTGCCGATGACGCTGGTGACGCTGCTGCTGCCGGCGAGCCCGGTGCACCCGGGGGCGGTGCCGGGTGCGGCGCGCACGGTGGCGACGTTCCTCTTCGACGTCGGCTGCGCCGAGGCCGGCTTCTACTACATCCACCGCGCCTTCCACTCGCGGGCGCTGTACGCGCGCTTCCACAAGAAGCACCACGAGTTCACGGCGCCCGTGGGCCTCGCGGCCACGTACTGCACGCTGACCGAGCACGTCCTGTCCAACCTGCTGCCCAACGCGCTCGGCACCGTGCTGCTGCCGCACCACTGGTCGCAGCAGTGCTTCGCGTTCCTCTTCCTCGAGTTCAGCACCGTCTGCGCCCACTCCGGCTACAACGTCCCCGGCCTCCCGTCGAACCTGCACCACGACTTTCACCACTTTGCGTTTGACGAGAATTTTAGCCCGACCGGCCTGCTCGACCGCCTGCACGGCACTGACGCCAAGTACGTGGCCACGCTGCGCGAGGCCATGGCGCGCACCGACGGCGACGAGGAGCGCGCGCGCAAATTGGTCATGCAACGCCTCGCGCAGATCGAGGTCGCCGCCGACGAGGCCAAGGCGAGAGCAAAGGCCAAGGCAAAGACGGGGGAGAAGTAGTCTGAAATTTGGAAAGGAGATGGAGTCTGGGATGGGTATTATATTGGATATGTTTTATAGGAGCCTGGATCATGTACCAACGCTGTGGACATTGTTTCATTGTTGGTCCTGCCATGTTATATGCCAGCAATTATGATATAGCTTTGCACGCTCACTCATTCAGACCGAATTGGAAGACTGCAGGACTTCCATGTTTACGTCACCTCGCTATTTCGTTTCCTTGCAACTATGCATTATGTGATGGCATCATCATTGCCAACTCATGCAACGCTCGTCATGTATCTTAGCAGTTGAATGACAACATCAGCCCAACCCGTCGCCATGGAGAGATCTCCGCTGCCCGATATATATAACTACTGAAATGAATTCATGCGCGTGAGTCACGCCCAGGTATTGCACTCTGCTCCGGCCCGATTGGCCCAATCCTTACTCTGCAAGGAAATTTGTTTCGTTTTACACAACATCCACCACACGATGAGTCTTGCGGCAACGGAAGGAAAAGGGGGGGAGCCAAACGAGAAAGAACAAAACCCATGCACGCAGGGTTCTCCTGGAGAAGCAAAAGGACAGTTCTGGCAAGGCCTGGGCTTCCCATTGAGGAGCTTCGACGCGGGTCTCGATGGCTTCGGGGATTTGTATTTGATTTTGCGGATTTCGTTAGAAACACGGCTTTTTTTCCAGCCCTCTAGCCGGGGGTATAAAGGTTCGCGACTTGAAATGGCACGTCTAGAACTACCGCCCGCGCGCCACAAGTGCACAACGCCACGGCCGCAACGTATCATGAGAGCCTCATGTCAACTCCCCCCAGGAAAAAGGCCACGCCGAGATATGCATCTTGAACCTTGCTATCCCTTGCAGCCGGGGAAAGGAGCCCATTTTTAAAATGAACTCGATGGGAATACCCCGGTAAGCCGTCCTTTTGTTGAGAGGTGGTGGAGTAAAAGAGGCAATAAGTGGAGTAGATATGGTGCCCAAAGCACTCATAAAACCATACCCTAACAGGGTACCTAAATTCCTATATAAATTATACTATAAAAGAGGTACCCTTATAAGGTAGAGTTTTCCCTCCTTTCTAATTAGAATATATAGAATATTAAGTTACCTTTCCTCTAACCTCTTCTAGCTATAATTAACTACGTATACGTATAACGCCTCTACAAATCGTAAGCATAGACAACACTATAACGTGACACCTTTATCATTCCTGCGCGGAAAGAATATGGAGTACCTGCGACCACTTTTGCGAAGGCTGATATTTTGACAATACGAATTGGTCAAATGACAACAAGCTAAACCGAATTAGTATAGACCCACGTAGCCACCAAGTTTTATAGGGGATAATTAGTACCTAGTTACGTCAATTCTCAACGAGTATTGATTGCATCTATCAAGGAGGCTGCCACGATGGCTGGAATTGATAAATTCGCTATGATGATGCCGGCGGCATTGATTGTTGACTTGTTCAGGCGTCGTTCTAGCCCTTGAATCCGCGATAATAACACCTATTGTATCGCCCGTATCGCCCGTATCGCCTGTATCGCCCGTATCGCCTGTATCGCCCGTATCGCCTGTATCGCCTGTATCATTTGACCAATTCTTGTTGTCAAAATATCAGCCTTCCACTTTTGCGCTTCGGTTAACCCAAGATGGATTCCTATGGCCCCCTATTTTCTGGGTTATTCGTCTCGTCTTTTTGTTGGTTCCTGGCTAGGCGGGACGGAGCAAGGGGGACGGGGTATGAATGACGGAGTTTACGGTTCTGGAATGCAGAAGAGGACCGAAACGAACGAGCCGCAAGAACACGGCGACTAACATTTTGCTCTAAATGATGAAGCATTTTTCCAACTACCATGCTAAGAAACATCCAACGGGAGATGATGAGTAGGAAATCGCGAGAAAATCCGTCTTCAGCAATGGCGAATCGCGTCGTATACATTTACCCTACATCGTATATTCGTATAATTTCCTAGCCCTATATTGGAACCGTCACGGGTCCTCCAACCACAGAGCCAGCAACTCCTGAAAGAATCACCAAAAGAAAGTCGCACTTCGTTATCTCGCGCCGTTATCGCGCCGCCCTTCTTCTCCCTTGCCAACCATGCACACCACCACCCCTTTTTACCATTCCAGCAAGCGCCACGATCGAGTTTTCTCCTACAAGACATCCCCGCAGCCCTCGGTGTAATTACGTGGGATAGCGTCGCGAGCTTAGAAAAACGCCATGCTCTTAAAGCTTCTTGTCTTGATCGGCAGGCACACCCATCCCATTGTTCTCCTGTTGTCCTACCGCCACTTGGACGTATAGCGGGAAACACTTTGCTGAATGGAACAAGGCCAAGGGCCAAGGATGAATGTATGTGGCTTGAGCATCCAAAGTCGTCAAGCCACGCGCCGTGAGCACCAGCCAACCGCGCAACGTAGCCTTTCGAAGCCGCGCATTGTTTCGTACCCAAGGCAGCTCATCGATGAGCACTTCATCAGGCCGTCAGAGCTTCCTTTCGGGCGTGCCCGGCTCATCAAAAAGTCAGCGCTGCCGAAATTACATCCTCCACTCTCCGTCCATAGCTCGTAGGGCCCTCGCCAATGACAGCACACGCCACACAAGTCGCCAATGCGTCCACGCTATCAACTTCCATCTTGGCACAAGAATAGCTGCAACATTCACTCGCACGAGACCAATTGATTGCCCTTGATAAAGGTTGTATTTTACTTCTTTGTGCCTGTTTTTACAACTACCCATACATTGAACCCGGGGCTCTGCCCCCTCGTCAATAGCAGCTCCTGGCCAGGCACCCCTTGTCTCAAGGGCCATGCATGCCACGCTGCATTGACCGCTTCTAAGTTATTAGCCGCCCCCCAGTTGAACAAGTGCCAGGCAGGCATCTGCAAGCCTTTTTGAAAATAAAAAAAATAAAAAAAATGGCAGGCATTGACGAGACCCTCGGCATCCTTCTCGCCGGCTGCGACCAAACACTTGGGTATCCTTTTTCTTCCCCTTGGCCGCTGTTCCATTCTGGTGTCCCATAGCAAGGCTGGCCAGACCTTCTTGTAGTCTAATCCTCCCAAACAACTTCCACCAAGGGCCATTATGCTCCAAGCCCGTGGAGGCTCATGTTCCCAAAAGAAAATGGTGCAGAAAGTGCGAAATGATGTAACATGCGAAATCAACTCTGAGGGCCAGCCGGCCAAATGTCGCAGAGATTTTTTTGTAGTCGGACGCTTTTTTTTTCTTTTCTTGTCGAAGCTTCGACTGGAAAAAGCAAAGGGCGGAAAATAATGATGAAAAAAAAACAAAGTCGCTAAATGCCATGACGTAAATGAGAGAGACCATTTGAATGCAAGCGTGCAATTCAAAATGAGAAAATGAAGGAGTAATATGTTGCGCCAGGTCCCGATATTATGTGCGGTACGAGACTCGGTGCTTTTGATGCATTGCCACCTCGATGCTTCCATGCTGTATGCAATGCTAGATGCCAGTATCATGCTTCAATATTGCATATAGTGCTGGCTCGCATACCCGCGTTGCGCCTGTGCCGCGTACACTGACCCTTGATTTTGATGCGGTGTGGGTGTAACCGGGCATCTAGGCGGCATCGCAGAGTAGACATCTTTTTGTGTCTGCCCGTGACCAAAGTGAACACCATCGGGGGTGATGGGAGGCGTAAGGTAGCCCTGATAGCATGGGGGAGCGCCGTGGCCCTTCTGAGGAGTGCTGTAAATATCGGAAGGCTTGGCAGCCATCTCCATGGGGGGCGTGGGGGGGTCGGCGGCGCGGCGCGCTCGGGCAGCCTGATCGGCCATGAAGTCGGAAAGCTTCTGCGAAACACGAGACAGCTCAGGGGTGGCATATTTACGGGCTAATGTGGGCGAGGGTTGGCTGAGGTGTTCCGAGAGCGCGACCAGAGTGACGTTCTCAGGGTGTACCCACTCGCGATCGTTGACTTCGGATCGGCCGAGGATCGCACGAGCGAGGGCGAGGGAGGCGCGGGCCATCATCGAGGGCTTCGTCGAGACAAAGTCACGGTGGTATAGGGCAATCTCACAGAGATAGGCAGCCATGTGCTCGACCTCGGCATCGTCACGCTCCTCGGCAGCCATAAGCTGGGTGAAGAAGTCGACGGTAGGGTGGCCAATGGCCCACTCGAGGGTGTTGAGAACGTGCATCTCCATCTGGGTGAACATGCCCGAGTCGTAGAGGCCGCAGCACATGTTGTTGAGCTCCGTGATCTGGGGAACACGGTCCTTCTTGTCACCATACTTGGCGGCAATGAGGAGGGCAGCACAGCCAACAAGCTGGTAGTGGTGCTTGTAGACGACACGTTTGGAGCAATATCGGTCCAGCAGGTTGACGGTGAGGAAGAGAGTCTCGGGCAGCAGCGTGAAGGCGGCGTGGGCCTCGATGATGAAGTCGATGAGGTAGGGTCTCATGAACCACTGAACCTCGCGCTGCATGTCGATCAGGTTAGCATCGGCAAGAGTCTCTTCCTGTAACGAGTGTTAGCTAATAGGTCCGAGATAGACGCTAGTCAAGGAGCAGGTGACCAGGCCTCGTACCTCCATGTCGGCCATGTGCTCCATAATGTCCTCTAGGTACTCTTCACCGGCGAGTCTTGAGAGTTCGCTGGCAATAATATCCTGGCGTTGGCGGGCAATCATTTTGGCGGCGCAGCGGGCATTCATTCGGTCAAAGGTGGGCTCGTCGGACTCGATGAAGAAGGAGTCATCGTGGCGAGAGTAAGCCATGGTTGCGGATAGAGGACTTTTGGGCTTCCCGTGATCAAGAGACGGAGAAGCAGGATGTATAATCGAAGATTATAAGATACGGCGTTGTGGGTTGTGTCTTGATGGTAAATGCCGTTGGACAAGGAATGGCTGGTAGGTTCTCCAGGAATCTTGGGTGGGCGAAGTCTGTATAGAGAGTGAAAGTCGAGCTACCGGGATAAAGAGAGAGCCGGTTGTCGGAGAAATTAGAGAATTAGAATATTATAAAGAGCGTGGGACTAATGTCGACGAAAGATTGATGGAGGGAAGAGTTGCCAGGACCATGTAAAGAACGAGTCGAGAGAGACGAATGGGTTGGATAAGGGCCGGTTTAAAGGACACAAGGGCTCTAGAGAATAGAAGAGTTCGGTTAGTCAAGTCGGCGCTGCAGAACCGCATCTCGGTGGTTTAAAGACATTGGCAGAGGCAAAATTGCGGGGATCGAACAAGTTTCCCCTGGCGTGCCGCTCCCTTGGATAGTAGGGGTGGGCTGGCATGGGAAGCTTTCGATCGATTGGCATGATGTGCCAGCAGGATAAAAGAAAAGGGCAGGCTTACCAGCTCCGTTGTAGAAGGGACGAGACAATCGAGATTGAGACAATTGTGCAGTGGGTGGGACCAACGAGTTAACGTGTCCCAGAGTGTAGTGCACAGGATTGAAGTCGACCGCGACGGTGGAGAGTTGAAGAATGCAGAGGAGGGTGCTCGGCATGCAACTATATTACAATTGGAGATTAGTCAAGGGACAGAAAAGTATGGTAGCGGGGGTTAAATTGAAGGATGGCGATTGGGAGCGTGGCTGAAGAGAAGAGATCAAGTGGCGGCGAGAAAGAAGGTCTGCACATACTGTTGGCCCAAAACCTTGAAAAAGGAAGAGACGGAGGGAAACGCGAGAGAAGAATGATTGGACACTAATGCAACGACATGCAAGAGAATTTTTGGCGTAGGCAGTTTTTCTTGCTAGTCAAAGCAAAAAAACAGGCCAACGGAGGGTATAGAGAGACGAGCAGGTCGGGGCTCGTGAGGCTTTCTCGAAGGAAGGGGTTGTATCAAACCGGTGAAGCTGTCGAGAAGCTCGAGACTAGCTGGCGACTAGAGGCTCGAATGTAGGAGCGTCTAGCACGACTAGTCGCGGGAAGGGGTAGAAATCGAATCGTTTGTCGAAGCGAGTCGATGGACGCAAGTCAAGGGAGGTTTGCGGTGGATGGCGGAAGAGTGGATCGAATTCCTATGTCGAGAGACTGGAATTGGGCGGCTGCCACTCGAGCGGCAAGGCAAGACTAGCTTGGCTTAATGAGAGCGAAGAGGAGAGGCGGAATACCAATCAAGGTATCGTTGAAGGACTTTCTCGGGGACAAGAAGAAGAAGATGTGGATCTTCTCTTTAAAGCTCAGCTGGGAAGCTTCTTTTTTACACGGGAGGTGGTTGAAGCTAGATGCTGCCAAGGGGTTGGATTGGAGGGAGAGTCGTGGAGGAGGGAAGGGGCGGCTTTTAAGGATCTCGTCAATCCGAGGGCCAGATTCCTGTGCGAGGGTGTCGACCTGCTGTGACGGGGTCAGGGACGAGGAAGAAAAATGGCGGCGAGGAAAACGAATGGACGAGAGATGAGGAGGAGGGGGACGAGGAGGAGAAGAAGAGGAGGAGGAGGAGGAGGGGAGGTGGGATAAAAAGAGAGGTAAGAGGAGGACGGAGGCGATGAGGACGGACTGGCAGCGGAGAGGCGGTTAGTTTTATTCGGGGCGCGGCGTAGAGCTGGTACAAGCAGGCCACAAGCTGGGCACAGAGCTGCGGTGCGACGAGATAATGGGGGATGAGTGGGCAGGCGGGCGCGCGGGTGAGGAAAAGGCGTTTTTGGTGGGTGTAGCAGAGGCGATACAGGCCTGGATGCGGCTGCATTGTGGCCTATTGTGCTTGTTGAATCAGGGCCGCACAGCGTCGTCGAGCACCGCTTGGGCGCCACGGACGCGCTGTAGGAGGCCTGTAGGTCGAGCCGAAGCCAGCAGCAGCAGCAAGAGAAGAAGTTGGTGGTGACCACAGCATTGAGGTAGGTACAGTACCGGCCCAGTACAGCATCCACCGAAGCGTCCCAAAACCCCCCCCCTGCCTGCCTCACGTTAGCACCCACCCCCAAGCGGCGGCGGGCCACACAACGCTCGTCCTTGCTTGGAGCCTTTTTTTTTTTTGGAGCCCTTTTTTGGCGTGTGGGCTGGGAAGAGGGGGAGAGGGCACTACTGCAACAGGGGGGTCCAGGGGAGGGGAGGTGTGTGTTTGCTCTGGTGTCTCTTTTTTTTTAATTTTTTTATAATTTCTACTTCTCAACGCGGGTGGGAATTCGCGGATGTTGCACGCCCCCAGAGGGGGAGAGGGGCGAGGCTTGACACTGATCAGGGAAGAAAAAAAAAACGTGAGGCGCGTCTGGCGATGATGATGATGCCGAGTAGGTTAAAGTGCTGCGGGTTGGCACAAACACGGGTGGCCTTGTGCAAGCACTTTGTGCACCCTCAAAATCGTTATCCAAGCAGCGCTCCAACCACGCATTGTTTTCCCAAGTTGCTTCCCCGCCGCGGGAAGCACAAGACACCCGCTGGCTTTGTGTAGCAATAAAAAAAAATTAATAGATGGGCTAGACAAAGGGCCAGGAACAGCGGTGAAATTGGGAAATGAAATGGGAACAAGGAACTCTGGCTGCTAAATGGCATTCTGTCTCCCTTATTACAGCCTTCCTCTTACACGGCTTTCATTCCCATCATCTCTCGTGGCTTCATTGTACGAATTGCCATTGCCACGCTAAATGACGCGACACACCACATCACTCGACGAGAGAAAGAGAAGAGTAACCACACTAATAAAGGTAGATACGTATCAGTATCGTATGTAGATTTTTCCCTCCCGAGTCGAGACAAACGGCTGGGCGTCTTGCCGAGGTGTCTTGTCGAGTACGTTAGCCTCTCGCTGTCTCGAACTTTGGCCCTTGCAGTTCACAAAACTCAGTAGGGATGGCGATTGATACAGAGAAAATAATCATGACATGTCCTTTTTTTCTTTCCATCTTTCTTACAATGTCCTTGCCTCTTTCGAAACTGCACGCTTGCCGCGCCCCGTAACACAGACTCGGCTTGGGGTGGCTTGTGCTGGCCCGACTTTGTGGGGAAATCGAGCACAGGAATAAAATAAAAGAATTGCCCAATTTAAAACAATCGAGAGTGGTTTATGCTTGCATAGCCAGATTCGAAAGATTAAGTGGATACGCATAAAAGAGATGGTTCAAGCTTTCTGCGTTTGCAAGACAAAGCAGCCAATGATATACCACGATGAAATTCAACATTCGTGTCGTACATTTCTTTTTACTTCTTCTAGCCGTATATATCGCCCAATTCGGTGGTAGAAGTTTCCACGCAATGCCACGACGATTCGGCCGGCTCGGGTGACTGCGCTTCTGTTGTGATGCGCTGTCCAGAGGCCCTGTTTGCGACCCGGTGGTTTCGCGCGCGCCGTGTTTGTTGCCAAACAGGTCGACGCCAGTAGGTACCTCATAGTAGAGAGAGGGGGCCAAAAAAACACCACGCGACCACCGATGATCAATAAAACAGGCACCGCAAACAGACACACGCTGAGTCTTGCCAGCGCGACGCTGCAGTAGGTAGTCCGTGGTCAGTGGTAGGGAGTGGTGGACTCGGATCTCGCCTGGCCTACCTCTAAGCTGGTGAGTTGCCCGGCCTCGGTCGTGGACAAGCTTCCTTCATCACATCTCATAATTCCAGCCTAGGCAACCTTATTTCCAGTGCGCGTTCCGTTTCCGCAGTAGTTGACCAAAACAGTGGCCTGCATCTTATTCATTCCCGTATGCTCTCGATATTTTATGCAACGCTGCTGGTCGCTGCACACACCACATGTCTCCGTCTCATTTACACAAAAAAATAGCCCGGTGTTGTAGATTTTATGCATCCATAACTACCTACAAATGTAGCATATCAACCATGTTTCGCTAACTAGCTGGGCCTTGTTCTTCTTGATGCGCCCCACAAAGCCAGCACGAGTTTCGAAATCCCATCTAATATGTACATGGGAAACCATTTCGCGCGACCAGGACGCGGGTTGCCGCGTCCACCCTGAACTCTCACACTAGCCGTTCTATTTTTCCTCTTCTTGTTAATCCCGTACGCTACCTCTATCTCTTCGTCGCGTCCGATTTGTCTAGCATGCAAGTTTCCGCAACCCGCGAGTACGTCACGAATAGACGAACCAAGACCCCAATGTACCGGTACGGCACACTGCATCACTAGTTCGCTCACGACTGTGTACAAATACACAAATACACCTTTAAAGTCAAACATCTCCATCAGGTTAGCCGACAACTGCCCTCAACCTGCCAGGCGGCCGTTCCAGGCCACCGTTCCAGGCCACCCGTCCCAGCCCCCATTGCTGGCTGTTCATCTCGACATGATGAGCTGTATACGAGGTAGTTAGTTAGCATCATCTGCTTTCTTCCTTGATGACACAGACACCCAATCATGCTTCCATCTTGCAGTACCAAGAAAGCAAGAAAGACACTCTTCCCGTTGGTGTCGGGCCTGTGCGGCCACCCTTGTTTAGTTCCGAATCACCTCACAAACGCACTCGAGCTAGCCCAGGATTTGAGCACACATTCGAGACGCATAAACCTGTTCGCAAACCAGCCATGCGGCACGGTTTGCCTCTAATAAGAAACGCCCTCCCTCCTTGCCTCTCAACACCTTGCGCAGAAATGGGTCTTGACGGTAGATCGGGCATGGATCGTACTTCCAAACGTGTGTATCTGTGTATCCGCAAAGTAAGCCAAAAACAATGATTTTCTATCCACGATCCATCTCATCATCTTGTGTCGTGCTTCGTACCCCTGCAGCATTTTTTTCTTTTTCTTTTCTTTTTTCGTTTTTCTGCTTTTTAGATCATTAACTTAGTTCCTACTGTAGTCATCGCGGCCCTCGCACATAGTTGGCGACGCGGATTTTAGAGTACAAGAAAGAGATTAAATATTTGGTAAAACGCGAGCACGACGCCCCCTCTCTCTTCCTTTGGTGGCTCAACGATACAACAGCACACGAGCCATGTCGTTCCTAATTTTAGTAGTAGCGAGCGAGGCTGAGGAAACTCTCTTGTGCCCCCGACGTGGCTGGCACAAGACCACCACCAGCCGGGCCGGTATTGGAGGGCCGGCACCGCCGCTGCTTTGGAGAGGAGCCCGAGACCACACAGTGTACACACACGCACGCACTTCATCCCAGACCTGGGCAAACATTCTTCTCGCCAAGGCCGCTTCTGAGTCTTTCGTCGCGTCGTCGAGATAAATTAAGACGGTCATTGACAGGTCGCCACGCGGGGGCACGTGGTCCTCTCACCGCCGAGAAAATCAATCCGACGCCCGGCGGTCATACAAAAGAAGAAGAAGCATCATCATTCCATGGCTTGGGACGGAGGAGGAGGGGCATTTTCACATGAACCCAATAAAGTCAAAAACCGAGCGGCCACGAGATTAAACCCCCCCTCCCTCCCCCCCCGCATCGCTTAATGATGTTCCGTACACAGCCAGGCGCAGGCCACCAGGCGGGGGGTACCCATCGATTTTCAGCACCACCAGGGCCTGCAGGCCGACGTCAGATAGTTTGGTTGGTGGTGATGCTTCGAGGCTAAATGATAATGACGATGAACTGGGTGGTGGCGCCATCCATCTCCAGCTTCCTTCCTCCATGCCGCGACCCTGACTTCCAATACACGTGTCGTCGAAAGCAGATTGTGTAGCAAAGGCCAAGAAGGGTAGCCCGGCCACTGCCCCCTTCAGCCAGCCCGAAGCCAGAGAGGACGCGAGGATGCAACCATTTACAGGAATTCGGCCGCTTCAAGAAAAATGGCGTAGCCAAGCAAAACCCCGTCTTTGACGGCCTGACAATGGAAGCTCCCGCCAGGCACCAACCACAACATGCGGACACACACGGACGAGTCCATATCAATCCCACAGCCAAGCCAAGTGGCAAGATGGGGGGTTGCAGGCCAACTGGGGGTTTTCCAGACAACCTTTTCTTTGGTGAGGCAGCCGCAAGCCTTCAGGACAGGGCAATGACAGCCAATCACCATGCTTGTACGCTCGTTTTCCGCAACGGATGCACCACCGCCTAGCAAAAGTATTTGTGTACCAGCAAAAATTGTAAAGAAACGCCTTGCAGAGAGTCAGAGACAGAGGGCTGACAGTCAGGGCTGCTCCAGGGCCAATCAAACCTCTGCCGCTGAGGGGAGGGCACGACGCCGAGGCCTTGCCAAAACGCCTCGCCTCGCTGGAGAGCACCAAGATGGTTACAGTCGAGCCTTTTTGTGTCTCAGAGCTCTCTATTTGGGCCGTGGTAAAAAGAATAAAAAATGAAAAATAAAAATAAAAAAATAAACGTGTATAACCGCTGCGACGCACACTGGCTTACGCTGGCTGACCATATCTCTGTTTTTTTTATTATGTGATGGCCATGCAAACTTGCCTTGCCCAGACGCCGCATCCATACAGCACAAGACCACAAATAACGCAAGGTTACACAACAGCACCGTGAGGGCCAACAGTGGCTGTTGAGAGCTTGCGAGGCAACGACCTTAATAATTGTTACTGGATTGTTACTGGACTGGTTTGGCCTGGTTTCCAGCCTACTGGTAGCGGGCTCCGCAGGCAACAAACCCCCCCATCAATAGAGGCGGTTCTTCGGATGAGCTCCTCTGCGGCAGATGGCACGGCCGGGTGCTCTGGGTTGTATAATTATTAAAACCGGATGGTCATTCGGCCTCGACTTTTGTCTTTATTCTATTTCTCAGCCGGCGCACTGATGGTTGTTTCAAGCTAGCGATAGTTATCGTTCCCGAGAGAGCTCTGTGCCCGGACG